GATGCTGAGGTTCGACTTGAGGCAGAGAGGCGTGAGGAGAGGGTGCAGGCAGGTGCTAGCAGCAGGGGTATTCCGCGCTGCAGGAGGTGTGGCAACACAGGACACAACAAGCGTACATGCAAGAAAGATACAGTAGAGATAGGCAATTAATTTAAGCTATTGCGCACTATTATATCTTGTTGTTGTGTTGAGTTATTCACGTTCAAAGATATATTGTTGCATTTAGTGATTCGCTCGGTGGGGTGATTCGCTCGGTGGTGGACCACGTTATAACTAGATAAGAAGTGTAACGTACCTTACGGGCGAGTGGCCCGGCCCGGGCGAGTGACCAGACTTTGCTAACTAATAAAGTACTTCTATTTCTTAGCTAGATAAAGAGTTATCTAGCTTTAAAGATACTAGATTTTGCTACTTTTACTAGTAAAAAGCGGGCGTTGCGTGACTCCGGGCGTTGCGCGCACAGACACGGTACCTACCGGTGCCGGTAGCTGCTTCCCGATTTCGCTCGAATGTAGCGACCTCGAAATTTCAATTGACAACATCAAAATAGCCAAAAACTCAGAAGCAGAGCAGCATACATGGGCTTCACAGACTTGGCCGAGATTGAACTACCAGCGGCGTTTGACGCCCACGTCCATCTGCGTGATGGCGAAATGTCGCAGCTCGTCACCCCCACCATCCGCACAGGTGGTGTGAATCAGGTGTATGTCATGGTAAGCTAACTCTTTCCGCATAGTTCATCGTACACATATTCCATACCAGCTCTGTTCTCCAAAGCATTCAATACCTTTATGGACTATGGTTGATTCATCCCCTAGCCAAACCTTGTCCCGCCCGTGACCTCTGTCAAAGCAGCCCTTGAATATAGGGAGCGTCTGCGCGCCATCGAGCCCAATGTCGACTACCTAATGTCCCTGTATCTGCACGAGGACATCACTCCGGAGGTCATCATCGAAGCAAAGAAGGCAGGCATCACCGGCGTCAAGTCCTATCCCGCAGGAGTCACCACCAACTCATCCTCTGGAGTCTTGTCCTACGAACCCTTCTACCCGGTTTTCGCAGAGATGGAGCGCCAAAACATGATCCTCAACCTGCACGGTGAAGTGCCCAGCACACCCGCCAACGCAAAAGCAGAAAGCACCAAAGACGGCGCGATCACGATATTGAATGCCGAGCCTGCCTTCCTCCCGACCTTCAAGTCCCTGCACGCCAAATTCCCCAACCTGCGCATCATCCTCGAGCACTGCAGCACTGCCGCGGCACTCGACGCAGTACGTTCCTGCGGCCCCAGCGTTGCGGGCACCATCACCGCACACCACCTGAGTCTGATCATCGACGACTGGGCAGGCGACCCGTTCTGTTTCTGCAAACCGGTTGCCAAGACGCCTGAGGATCGTGACGCCCTGCTTAAGGCAGTGATAAGCAGCAAGGGCCGCTTTTTTTTGGGCACGGACTCAGCGCCGCATCCGAGCACGAAGAAGAGGGGCGAAGATAAGGTTGCTGCGGGGGTGTTTACGCAACCTTATGCGTTGGGGTATGTTCTAGATGCTTTGAGGACTGGTATCGAAAGGGGGGTTATCGAGGAGAAGGGCGTGGACCAGGAGGCATTGGAGGGCTTCTTTGGTGCGTTTGGGCGCAAGTTCTACCAGGTAAAGGATGATCGCAATGAGAGGATCGTGTTGAAGAAGGGTGGAGAGGAGATCGTGGAGGTGCTTAAGAAGGATGGGATTAGCGTTGAGGTTGTGCCATTCAGGCACGGCGAGTCGACTTGGAGCGCCGAGTGGAAGTAAGCAAACAGAAAGAAAAGCATGAGTACGATGTGCATCTCGTTATCCTGACTTTAGACTGTTTGCAGCATAACGGAAACGTAACTATGCACAGTTCATTGACTAGAGCCGACACCAAATTTACGCCAAGTCAATTACATTGCCAGGCTCCCAATCTTCTTGTGCCACGCTTTTGGGGCGATCTCTGCCCGGCCTGATCTTCGAGTACGATTCGACCCGGGCAGAGGAGGCATTGAAGCTCTTCTATCCTCGAGCTGGTTCTTTATTCCTGGTTCGACGCGTGCTGGTGATGTTGTTCGTCGCACTTCCTCGATCTTTTTTCGCTTTAGGGGGCCCTCAGAGTTCTCGTCTACGTCCTGAACTTCGCTTTTGAAGTCCTCTCTTTGGCGTTTGGGTAAGGACGGTAGCGTTGACGGCCCGAATGTTGGGATAGAAGGCAGCGAGAGTCTTCCGACGTTCGTAGAAAAAGTACAAGACAGCCTTGAGAGGAAGCCCCCGGGCAGTGTGGGCTGCGCTTCCACTTTGAGAGGCTCTTGCGGCGGGAGTGGTTGCGGTCTAATTGGGAGTGGATTATAAGCTCCGTCGAGAGATAGCGACATGTCAAATTGCTGCCTTGTCTCGCGTGTGGAGTCCATGGACGCTGACGAGTCCGATGATGCTGAACTCGCTTCCTGTTCGACGTTGCTCCTTGAGTGCTCGCTTGCATCTGACGGGTTGGCGTCCCGCTCCTCCTCGACATCTACAACCACCTCTGTCTCGTCTTCCAAAACATCATCCAAAACATCATCCAGTCTGTCAGGACACTCTGACTTAGTGATAGCCTCTCGAAGTGCAATGCCAACAGCAAATGAGACCTTGCGATCGACTCCGTTACTGAGGATCTTCCACTGTTCACGTAGCGTCCCGATTATAGGCTCGTGGTCTTTATATCCTTGTGTACGCTTGGCTTCTTGGACACTAAGTGGCCTATGCTGCAACCAGTGCACCGAAGCACCATTTCGCGCATCTTGCTTATTGACGTCCGTTGTGATTGTCGGGACGAGACCATTCGCCTTTATGCGCTGGAACGATTTCGTAGTCTCCTTCTTCCTCAGTTGAAGGGATGCTGGTACGAGATCTAAACGCAAGGCTCCTGCGCACCCGGAGCCAGGTGAGTTGGTTGGTATGCATTCGATGAGCGCTCGAGCTTTGCGGTTTGTCGGTCGTGAGAGTCGGTGGTCAGGAAAAGGAATGCATGTTTGGACGTTTCCGCTCCCAATATCCGGTAGATCTGAGGTTACCTCTTCTGCGGTAACATGCTGAAATGGAGTGGCGTAGTGCTCTCTGTCGCCAAAGCGCTCACCGTTCGGCAATTTACCAAGACTCCTGGCGGTGGTGTCCTCAGATGACCTACTGTGCGTGTGAAGTAGTTGCAGGATAGGTTCAAGACCTGGCACAGCTATGGTCAGGATGATCCGCGATCTCTGCTGACAGCTTCTATAGGTCCAGCTGTCCATGATGTACTGATTGACTTGATAGCCCATAGACACCAGGCACGCCACCAGCTGAGAAAGGACGTTCTGGTCCTCTAAGGCCTGTCCGAGTCGAAGCCATGTTAACTACATTCTCGAGTACACCATAGAGAGGTCGGTACAAATCTACGGCTGTGCAGAACGTGGTGATGTGGGAAGCATATGTGAGGGACTGCTCGCTCAACATATTCGGCTGTAGCGCAGAGAATCCTGGAGAGGTCAGTACAGAGTCACGAAGCGCACATCACTAGCAGCGACGTACCTGGACAGGGCGAACCGGCCGCTATTACGTCGACTTCGCCTACGTGTGCGACGGGGCGATTCTTGGCTTCAGAAAGCACTGCCTTCACATAGTCATCCACTGATCCACAGAAGAGACGCATGGTTTGCGGATCCTGGCAGTTCGCACGTTGTGTATGAATCGCTGCGGAGTCGTAATCGACAGAGGTCTGGAACTCCACTGCACCACCTTCCTCCAAACCGCGGTCTAGCCCACCACCGCCACCGAACAAGCTAAGCCCTCGCAGCTTCCTGCATGGGAGTGGCTTCTCTCGCGCTTCATGAAACCCTTTGGGCAGACCCTCCAAGTAGACCAACCGCTGAATATTGTTCGCAGAGTCAAGACCCATGCTCACAAATCAGTGATCACTCGCGCCTCGCAAGTTGTAAGGGAAAGGGATCTTGTCCTTGAGCACGCTTGATCCCTGCACAAAGATCACGTGGCATGCCTGCTGGATCCGAGAAATTGGTAAGGCTTTGAGCTCGCCGGTGAGAACAAGCTCGTTTGGGGCAAAGTTGCGTCTGCTAGCTTGCAATGCCAATCCTGAATAATCTCGCCCAAGTCGTAACAGCACACGAACCTTAGCTTCTTTTATTCTGTAGTCGATCTCGTGGATCACCACAGGCTCGAGTATATTCTGCCCGTTGATGATTTTCGTAATGTACACAGTGTCGCCAGCGCGCCACTGCACGGTGCTCAGCTTTGACTTTCGACAGGAGCACGTTTTGTGATCATCGTTGACACTTACGAATGTGCTGTCTTGAGGGATGTATGTCTGACGAACGAAGTAGTCTTTGACGGTATTGAGCGACCGCGGGGACCATGCGACACCGTGCTTCCGTTTGACGTCACTTGACAAGATCTCTCGCTGTCCACAGTTGCAGTTCTCTGAGAGAAAGAGCTCATTAGAGGAGCAATACTTGGCGAGACACATTGGTGTCTGCAGGATGGTAAATCCAGAGCACGATCAGGCGTTGGCCTCCGTTTTGGAAGGTTCCACATCCTGTACGTAAGCCAGCCACTCGGCTTCGGACTTTTGCCACTTGGTTCTGTCGGTTTCGTCTGGGAGAATTGAAACGACGTCGCCTACACAAACGTTGGACTCCCCTTTGGTGCTTCGATCACTACGGCTGGAAGAAATTATAGTCGTACTGTCCTCTGCAAAACCCAATTTCTCTTTGCGCTTCCTCTGCATACGGCTCACACCGGCAACAAGCACGATTTGCTTCAATTTGCTGGCAAAGTACATCAGTTGGAAGCTTTCGAAGACAAGAGACGTCGTTAGAGTCTCATTGACTTGGCTCGGTTGCCTGCTAATCGCTGTCATACGGTCAACTTTGCAGTGTGCCCAGACAGGGTGGCTGGTGAGCAGCCTTGCTGTAGACAGATTGCAGGCCTAGATGTAGAAGAGCTCTGCGTAGGCGTTGAACGCAACTTGGATGTCACGAACATTCCCGGACATCGTGTACCACTCCTTGAACGACTCATTCATACCGAAACGTTTTTCAAGCCATCGGTGAAAATCGCTTTCAAAGCTTTCTAGGCTTACGGTGCTCCTCGGTTGCTCGTCAATGTAATCGAGGGTGCGCTTACCCAGGACAGCAACCCAGATGAACGGCGCATGAAACCTCTTATAGCGTGAGGCAGGTTGCTGCAAGCGCAGCCAAATGTCGGAAGTTTCATCCTTGCATGCCAGTCGCGTTTGAATGTATGCGACAAGATCAGGGTCGGTATGTGATCCGATCATTCTATGGACAGATCATCAATCAGGATGCGTTCAACGTAGTGCTTGACATCGCCCACTTGGAAATAGCCGTCGAAACACAGCTTCTTTGCATTGACATCCAAAAGATGTAAGCTAGTCAGCTCCGAGGCGCGCTTTGAATCGGTTTGCGGGCACCGGTAAACCTCGAAGTCATGAAGATCAGCGATGATGGTCTCTCTCCTTCATCTGGAAGTCTGTGGTGGTGGTTTGTCATCGGCTGGTCTTTTCCATCCATACTACGACAATGTCAGCCCGCGCTATGATTGTTACAAAAGGGCGCCCACCTTCAGGTTCTTGATAAGATCCTCTTCCGGTGTGATAGCGGCAGGTTGCGTGTAGTTTGCAGTGTAAGATCTTGGATAGTCTGGCAAAGAGGGCTTGATCCGAATATGGGCAAGCCCAGCAGGAGACTCTTGCCCTGTACGGTGGTGATGACTTTTCATGCTCGGCATGCTGTCAAGCAGCGAGGAGGCAGTATTTGCCAATGAATAACAGTGGAGATCGTAGAGTGATTGAAGTTCGACCACTGAAATCTCTTTTCGATGGTAGGGCCAAGGCAGCTATCACCCAAATGGAGGGGACAGAGTCAACGGTGAATGTGGAGCAGTTCACCGCGCTATTCCTAGCTCTTGTTTCTGGTACAGCGAAAGTTCGCCAAGGGCCTGCTGTGCAAATGGCGCGTTGCGCGCGCATGCACTTTTCCCAGAGTGACGGCGAAGAAGGCTTTGCGGCCTGTCTTACTAGTGTGTCAGGCGCATTCGCTTTGTTGGCGGAAGCGTCGTTCAGCGCGCTGCAGTAGTTGCGGCGCAGACCTCGTGAGCGTGAGCAAGCCGAAGGGTTTCCCAGCCACCGCACTTCTGAGGGCTTAGCGTAGCCATACCATTGGGTGAGGCCAGAGGTCAATGTGGTTGAAAGCTTGTCATGGTGAATATGCATTGTAGATGTGCAAACGCTGTGTTAGGTAAGGTGCACGTGGCAAGTTGCGTGATGCACGAGGTGTGAGGTGTGAGAGGTCAGCACAGGCCCTGCAGCAAACGGCAGGGCCAACGACCAGGGTCAAGTAACAGTATAAGCAAGCAGAGCGGTGAGAGTACGGCACACGACGATGAATGAAGCTTAAATGGGATTTTGCCTGTTTGCAAGTCCAGTCTATGTACAGCAGCTACCGTCAGATCTAACACGCATGCCGCTCGAACGCTTACACCACAACGCCAGTCATGAAGCCATCATATACAGTGCCCTTATCCTTAGGTCTTGTCACCATGCGGCGCATAGTCCCAGATGTGCGATGAATCATAGGTCTCTGTCTCCTCCGCCCTCAGCTTGGGGTCCTCACCCCTCTTCCTCGCGTCTTCCCTCAGCTTATTAAGCTCAACATCCATCTCGTTAACTGTTTTCCTCAGGGTGTCCTTTGTGAGCTTCTCCTCGGCTGTGAATTCGGGATCCTTGCCTTCCTCTTTCGCCTTGTCTGCGCGCCTGTTGAACTCGTCGAGCTTTGTCCACTTGTCGTTCCTGTCGTCCTGCTTCTTAATGTAGTCATCAAACTTCTGGCGGCCACCGAAGCAGATACCGTAGCCGTCGCAGTAGCACGTGTTCATCGCGGGGCAGTAGACTTCGTGACCGGTGAAGATGTAATGCCAGATGTATTCGAAGATGCGGCCGGAGAACTGGTCGTCCATGCCTGTTGTGAGCAGCCACTTGCGGTAGTGAATGAAGCGCTCGACAGGCACCTGCCTGATCCTGTCGCGCGAGACGGCGAACTGCGCGCAGCAGATACCGGAGAGAGAGGGTGGGATGGGCGCGCCCGGGTGGATCTCTTCCCAGATGCTCTTGCGCCAGTAGATCTCCTCGGGCTTGTGGAAGAAGTCGAAGTCGCCGCCCGGCCGGTCCATGTGGATCCAGTCAGGACAGCCGGGGTCGTGGTGGCATCGCACGTTCATGTAGCCGAGGCGGGCGACGCGGTCGTGGTTCAGGCGGTCGACGATCTGGGCGGCGTCGAGGCCCATCAGCTGGTTGTTGTGCCATGCGTGACGATGGGCGTGCATGAACAGGGTTGTGTCAGGGAGGTCGTCGTAGTGGTCGATTATGTAGCTAAGGTACACCTGGCGTATCTGTTAGTATCCTCTGCTGTGCTGTTGGGAGAGCTGCGGCGCGTACCATGGCCTCCCGGCCCTTGTTCTTGGGCACCTTGTGCTCGGCCTTCTCGTTGTCCACCTCGTATATGACCAGCGGCGCATGGGGGATCTCCTCCTGCATCCATGCCAGGTCCTCCTTGGTCGTCTTGGGCACGACAATCTTAAACGTGTAGTTGGTGCCTGCGGGCTTGGGCACGCCGTCCGAGAAGCGCAGCGGGATGCTGAAGTCGAGAGGGTCTACGCCCGGGCGCAGCGATGACGGGCGCTCTGTCGAGAACGAGGAGCTGGGCTTCCACGCCGATAGCGACGCGCCGGTGCCTGACACGCCATGATAGTACCACACGACCAGCGCAAGCACGAAGGCTACGACGATGAAGGGGACGAGCCGGGGTGGTCCGCTGAGCATGCTGGCGGATAACGCGGACCGTGTTTGCCGAGTGCAATTGCTCACGGCGCCTGGAGGAATATGCAGTGACGAGGAGACAGCGCGTTCATGTCTTGGACAGGGCCCAACCGTCGACGTAAGCTTCTCCCCGTAATTTTGGTGGAGCTAGCCTTCCAAAGATCAGATCTTCCTGTGAACGTCCCGCTGGTTTCAAATCTAGCCCCTGCATTCAGCATTCCACCAACAACGCAGAGCCTCTTCCCGGGAACCCGAATGAAGTCCTGGATTCTATCGCTTATCTCTCTTTGGCATCAATAATCTACTGTTCGTTGTATCTATGTCCGTGCTACATCACTACAATGATTGCGTTCACGACTGCAGTTGCCTTACGCGTCCAGCTCCCTTGATGTTCCTTGATGTTCACCTTGCTTCGCCACCACGACCGTTCGTTTCACTCAACATCTGCATGTCGACCAACATCAGCCAATCAGTGAAACTCGAGAGTCTGTAAATGCTAGCACGTCCCGTAGAATACGGAATTGCAGATACAACATGCACTTCCTTTGCAATTCAATCTATCTTCTGAAAACCACCATCAACTCTGCAAGTCGCAGTCAAACAACTTACGGAGCAGAATAAAAACATCTCCCGCTGTATTTTCCAAGCATGACAAAACATGACATTCTGCGATCACGACTCCAACCGCAGTATGTCTAACAAACTCGAACGCCTACCAACCGCAATATCAGGAACGACGATACACACTCCACCTATGTCCTTGCATTTGGCAATGTTGAGGAATGTATGGAAAGTAGCAGAAGGATAGAAGATATGATGTTTATAGTTGAATGATATTACAAACGCATGAGCGGACCACTCTGTCAGGTCAAACAGCCAGCATCACGATGCCAGGCAAGCTAATGTCATGTCTGCTGTCGTCATCGCCCTTAAATGCATCTAGTCATCCTCCGTCAGGTCACCGTACTCCCACTGGCCTCGCCTCTCGGCCTTGGCAACATCTTGCTTCTGCTTCAGAGCACCGAGGATGTCTGTCGCACTCCTCTCCCAAGCCTTGAGCTTCTTAGGAACCATGGCAAGACCCTCCGCGATGACTTCCGCGTTGACGCTTTCCTCGCCGGTCTTGCTCTCCTTGGGATCGAACAGTGTGACCCACAGGAGGCCGTCCTTGTCAGCTTGATCAACGTTGGCAACGAGCGAGCGGCCGGCAGTCTCCTCCGAGATGAACTGAACGGCGTCGGCGAGGTACTCGGGGTTGCCAGGAAGCTGGATGAAGGCTAATTGGGCATCGATGGCCTGAGGCTTGAGCTTGGTGTTGGAGAACTCAGCGCCGAGAGGGCGCAAGCTGGTCCAGGGAACCATCTCAGAGTTTCCGAAGTCAATGTAGACTACCTCGGCCTTCTTGGCCTCACGGTCGTTGCGACGGACGCGGGCACGGTACCATGTGTTATCCTCAGAGAACTTCGCCGAGACGAATTCGCCGGTCTTAGGAGGGCCGTCAAGGCCCTTGCTGTTGGCTGGGTTCATGTGGAACTTGCTGAAAGCGTTCATCATCGTTGTAAGTGCGGAAGTACCCGAGCCGATTTGCTGGAGCTTGAGTCTCCCGTCATCGGCAACGTGAGTGACCATAACATCGCGGTAATCTTTCTGTCTCGAGGCTGCTGGAGCATCTCCGTTCGATGTCTGGGCAGCGGCTGCAGTGGTATCGGCGTACTCCTCGTCTTGAGAGGGGTCGTAGTTCTCCCAGAGGTTCTTTCGTGCATCCTTGGCCTTCTGCTCAGCCTGGAATAGCTCGTTTGCGTTGCCAGACTTTTCGGCCGAGTATGTGTGTACGGATGCGAGACCCTCCTCAACAAGTGTTTTTGCAAAGTTTTCGCGGTTGATGTAGAGAGTGCCAATGAACCCACCGACCTTGTCGCAGTCCTCAACGTCAATCTCAACATCTCGCTGCTGGCAGCGCCTGCTGGCGAACTCGTGTGCCTCTTTGCCGTACGGCTCACCCTTGTCCTGGTCGTTCCTGGCCGATCGAGGTGCGCGAATACCGGAAAGAACGAGCGTGATCTTGGCGTTTTCGCGGGGAATCAAGACGGTGAATCGAGACGCGGACTTGACAAAGTCAACAACAGCAGGCACTCTGCGCTGCCTAGAGAGCAGAGTGAGCTGGCGCTTGGCCTTCTCAAGCGACTCGGAGTAGTCGACGTATTGCTTCGCGGAGGGTGCTTTGGGAGACCACAGACCCCTTTGCTCCTCCTGTGCGGTAGCCTCAGCGAGCAGAAGATCGTCGTAGATTGGGCTCCTGTCGGTGTCGTCCTGGCGGTGGCGGATGACTATGGCCATACCGTTCTCGACGAGGAGCAGACCGATGTTCTTATCCTGGAAAGTAACTGTAGCCATCTCACGCTCGTCGTAACCCTCCTGTGCCGGGCGCTTTCCATCAATGTGGAACTTAACATGCTTGCCAATCAGCTTCTTGCGCAGGAACTCCTTGGCCTCCGGTGCCCATGGTGACTGTTTGGGGTCGGTTGGCTTGGGCTGCCGGACGCTGCTGAGGTTTATGCGCTTCTCCGCGCCAGCCTTGTTTCGCAGGAAGAGGGTGTCTGCGCTCTGTACTCTGCTGACAGTTGCTTCAAGCTCGCCTGGTGCGTTCGCCTTGGGCACGACGTGGCCCTCGTAGAGACCCTGCCGCCTGTCCCTGGCGAATTTCTCGGCCTGCCTCAGCTTAGCCATCTGCGCTCCGAGAAGTGTAGTGTGGTGGTCGGTGCATTTGGCCAATCCAGCCTTGAGGATGTGAGGTGTGATGCTGCCCTGGGAAGGATGCTTCACATCCGCGATAATCTGACCATTTGGTGTTGTTCCAAGGACGTTCGCAGCGACGTTTCGCTGAAGCAGCCTGGTCTCGACGAAAAGCTGTGCATCATCACCAAAAGGCTCGGCAGCCTGTATTTCGCCAGTCGAGGTGTTCGTGCGTTGTGTCGAAGGTGCGCGGATACCGGCGAGGAGAATCATCGTTTGGACGTGCTCAGTAGGCGAGATGATGAATCGAACGATGAGACGGTCGCCAGACAAGACCTTCTCGACGATAGCTGCGTGAGGTCAGACAGGTTTTTTATGCTTCTCTAGGCCGGACTCACCAGTGAGCTCTTTGCCCTTGTTCTCTTCGACAAATTGCTGGGAATTACTGAGCTCGTTGATCGAGTTGATCCTACCACCAGTCTCGGCCCAGAGACCCTTCGATTCTGCCCTAGCCCGCGCCTCGAGGACCTGCAGCTTCTCGAGAATTTGCGCGTCCTCGTCGGAATCACCCTTGCGGCCAGCATCGTCGCGCAGCTTCAGCCAGCCCTCAGCCACAGCTTGCTCGGGAAGCACTGTGCGGTCTGGCAGAGCTACAATACCGTATTCGCGGTTGGCGCCAGTGGGGATCTTGTAGAGAACCTGGAAGCGTACGACCTTTCCAACAAGCAGACGGCGGAGGTAGTCGCGTGACTCGAAGGCGAACTGCTCGTCGCCTTCACGCTTCAATCGCGGCGCGGTAACAAAGGCTAGGCTGAGGATGCGTTCTTGTTTCGGGTTGCTGATGTTGTGGAGAACAACGGTGTCGCCAGAGAGAACGCTCTTGACCTTCGCTTCGAAGTGGGAGGCAGCCATGGTGGAGGATGAAGCTTGACACTGCAGATGCACATGTTAGCTACCGTGGTCACAAGAGCTCCAGACTTAAGCGAACAGTCAGGTCTTATGCTCACCTTGTCAAACCAACAGAGAACCGAGGAGAAATGGAAGGAGAGACTGCAATTGATACCAAAACCTCAACTGCAGAAGGAGGAGATGCAATTGTGCTGAAGTGACAACGTGGTGCTAAGCGGTGTATCAGCCCCGAAATCTCGCCATCTAGCTCCAGGGACCGACTGTGGGGTCGATCCCGACTAGGCGAAGCGCAACGTCACTTGCAGATCTCATGCACCTTCGTACTATTTCAAGAACCATCTATGGCACTCTCATTCACCTGTCCGGTGCAAGGTACGAAAGAGTGAAGTAAGAAGTGAGTGTCAGGTGTATTACTACTGTCCAATCCTCGACGTCCAGCTTCTTAGCAAAGTAATGATAGCTTGGGTGTATCCCCTCAGCCGCTATATGTGCAACGCAAGGGAGACTCTTCTCAACCTGTGCTGTTTCTACACTCCCAAGAAGAAGGCTAATGCCTCTCGATATATCTTACAAGACGCCTTACCATACGGCTCTAGGAACTTTTGTTCGAACCAAATAACGAGACCAGATAGCGAGAGCTAAAATCAAGCAAATACGTAGCGATAGACAAAGGAAAGGTCAAACCAGAAAAGCCGTCATTATGCATAAATCATTAGTTGTTGCCGGACTCCGCGTCCTAAGCAACGTAAGCTGGAGGTGCCTCGAGCTCGTCCTCAGAAGCCCAGATACCTCCAGTGCGGCCCTTGGATCGATGAGCTCCTGGTGAGATGTCTCGCGAGGCAGATGCACGATCTTTCTCTTGCTGCACTTTGCGTGCAATCTCTTGTGCCATCTTCGTCATCCAAGCTTGCTCGAGGATACCCCCCGAGCTTTCAGCCTCATTCGGTGGAGATGTGAACGCAATCTTGTCGAACGACAAGGAGCGGAGAAGAGGCGACGTAGACTGCTGAGCTTGGCGAATTTGATTGTGCGAGAGTGGCGGTCGTCTCGAGGAGGGGAGCGCCTTGATGGTCTCGTCCCCGTAAGCCTCACACTCATTTGCATTCGACCTCAACATCCTCGATGGTTCTGAGAGAAGAGGTGCGGCAGGAAGTAAGGTCTCGGTGGACGCTGTGTTGCCGACGAGCGTGCTTGGTTCGTCGTAACTAAGGATCCCATGAGGCCCATTGTGTTGTAGGCCAGGACGGGCTGGGCTTCGAGGTGGTGTCGCTACCTCTGCAGCTTCCCTCTCTTCATGCATAGCGCTTGAAGTCTCCGAAGCGTATGTGCTTGCCATCTCGTTTTGCCCGTCAATTGATCCGGCATCTGCGCCCGCTTCTGTCGTCTTCTTGCGGAGGTCTACGACCCGCTTCTTGCGCTTGCGCAGGCCGCCGGTGCGTGATCGTCCCGCACCTAAGGTCAGGCCTGACATCGAGTAGGTGGTAGAAGAGACGGTCGGACGTGAGTCGTGCGTGTCGTGGGTTTCATGGGTGCATTGGCTTCCAGACGCGACAGAGGATGCTCCTGACCTCATGGTACCAAACGTAGATTGTATCCTCGACAAGCTACCCCTTGTGAGTGCTGGTGTAGCGGCACCAGATGCATCTCGATCTGGTCCAGCCCAAGCACGGAACACGGCGTCGCGAATACCAGGCGTGAAGAGCGACAGGGTGCGTTGCGATTCGGAGAGGGCGGCGAGGCGGAGGATGTTCTTCTGCGAGAAGGAGGCGTGAATCTCCCCGACAGGATCGAGTGCAATCTCGGAGATCTGCGACTCCTCGAGAGGATTGCCGAAAGCGTCGACTGCATCTTGTGGAGGGGTCGCAAAGGGGTCGACCGCAGTAGCACTGTCCTTTGTGCCTTCTAGTCTTTCTTCTTCCATCTCCTGGAACTCCGGCGAGCACAGCCGTAAGGATAATCGATGGATGATAGCAGGCAGATCCTCCATGAACAATACTCGTAATTGTTCCTCGATGACCTTTTGTAGATAGTCACGGACGAACGGTATCGAATCGAATGTAGAAGAGACCTTTAGCGACTCCAGGGGGTCGTTTCTGAAGACTAACGTTAAGCCCTTCTGTTTCGAAAACACCAGAATAACGAAACCCGATAACCGGAAATTCGATAACGTGATAGAAAGGGGTATTGTTAAGCCGGATGCCGCTGCCAGTGGTTGTGGCGATGCGAAATCCGGCTTTGTCGACAGATGCGTCTTCAGTGGGTTGACTTGGACCTTGGTTTTCAGCGTCAGGAACGCATCGCCCGTGTAGGACATTTTGAAAATGCCCCTGAAGCGGTCTTCTGCCAGGTCGCCAATCTCCAGGATCTCGAGTTCTGGTGGTGTTGATCCGAGGTTGAGTTCGGTGACGATGATGTCGTCAACGATGATAGGCGGCTTCGGCGACTTGTTCAACGCCGTCGTGAGCATGTCTCGCGCGCGCGAGGTGTCAGCCAGAAGTGGCGACCAGTTGAAGTTGAACGCCATGGCCGGTGCTTGTGCTCAGGTGCGGTGGGAGCGCTGAAGCTTCTAGCGACGAGAGGTACCGATGCGTGGGCTGGTGGGTGACAGCTGGGGTGTCGCGTGCATGCCTTGGATCTTGGTCGCCGCGTGAACGCAGTCTGGGCACACGGCAGGTCTGGGGCTATGTATGGGTGAAATAATGATGCGCACGCGTGAAGGATGGTAAGCGACGTGCTGCAGTGATGCTCGTCGGCCGCGCAGGTGATGGTGGAGGGAGCTGTGAGAGTACGGCAGGAATTTCTCGGGTATGGGGAAGTTTCGGGAGCCTTAGGGAGGCTATGAGCTCAGAGCGCAGGGAACCAACTTTTGCGTAGGGGTCGTGCACCACTCGCTAACGCAGGGCTGAGCTCCGGGCGGGCTCGTGACACTCGGCAGAAGAGTGACAGTAAACAACGACGATAGGTGATGAAAGGCCCAAGATATGTGAAGGTTTTTTGGTTGTTTATCAATCGTTGGGAAGAGGCAGCCGCGACCTGTCAGACCTGTCTCGCGCCTGCCAAACGAGCAAGCATCCTTCAATTTCATGTGACGCGCTTCCCTGTCAACCTCCCGCCTCAGCCCTCACGAGCCACAGAACCCCTCCGGAAGACCGTCAGTTCGGCCAGCAACCCCAGCATCGCAGGCGAATCACTCCTGAGTTGGCCAATCGAAGAAAAGGGGTCGTGGATCTATCGATAATGAGTCACTGTGGTCCGCCAGATTGCCTGTCGATATCGCGGGGAAGTATTGTAGCCAATTTGTAGGCGCGTTGTCTTGTGTTTTACATTGGCGTGATTCTTGTTGTGATACTTGAGCACATAACCCGGAGTTTTGGAGCAGATGGCAGCTCAAGTTCTTCTCGAATAATGAAGACTCAGTTGTCCTCCTTCAGTAGTCTCTCAACAGCCTCAACCTTGTCCTTGAAACCTTGCTTCTTGTCTGTTCTGGTGCCAATCCTGATGTCACTCTGGATTCTCACAACACCGTTCTGGTGCAGCAGAGCATGGCATTGTCCAATGACTCGCATACAGTCGTCCCATGAGCCCTCTGGACACTTGTATCAGTAGTGCGATAGCCAACGATTCATCTCAGAAACACACCAAGAGTTGTGCCTGCAGAGTGCATGGAGTAGCTCAGCCCACTCTTCTTCAAGATCCTCTGCACCTCCGCCACCTCCTTCGACACGCTCGCAGTTGGTGTGCCTAGCGGAATGAGACAGAAGTCTGCCGTGCAGGACGGCGGTGTCTTGATGTCTGAAATAGTGTTGCTCGCCATGTTTGGCTGGGTGATGTTGCTCCAAAGCCCAGGCTGGGCTGCGAGATGCGGGTTGAGGGACCGCGCCCCACCAGATCTTCAAGCTTCACTGCTAGAACAACGCATGACATTTGTTCTGAGAAACAACAGGTTCTAGAACGTGAGAGTTGTTCAATCGTCAATGGGTAATTCTAATTGAGTAGAATGTATCATCGCAAATTCGTTGTTGTGCCAGGCTTTCGGCTAAGTGCTCAAAATAGAAGCACACTTGCACCAATGAAGTAGGGCCGTGCTACACGCAGCCTCCATATCATGGTACTTGTCTCGGTCAGCCGTTGCTTCACTCTGCCGGTGAAGGCATCCTTGATGTCGACGGCCATTGCAGGCGTTCAAGGCATGAAAAAATAGTATAATAAAAAGATATTTTTTCACATTACCATGAATCGGTTCGATGGTGTAGTTGGTTATCACGTCAGTCTAACAATCTGTTAGCTCACTGAAGGTCTCCAGTTCAAGTCTGGGTCGAATCATTTTGCTGCGTCGACAAAGATTCCTCAAATTTGCGGTTCCAAGTCGACCAAGTTCCATTTTTTGCATCTAGTTGCTTTCCTAGCGCCGACAGTGCGACGGAAGCGTTATAGCTGACTGATGCATGGCGTAGACGTTGTGGAGTCTCAGACTTGAAAACATCCGACACTAAAAGTGCACGACATTATTCGCGGACGAGAGTAGTGGGTCACGACCTTTTTGTTTTGACATATTTTGGAGAAGGCTACGCCATCATGTCCCAACCCTACTCAGTATTATTGCCTGAGCTCGGGTTGCTGCTTATCGAGCTGGCTGAGATGATACTTTACAGTACCAGAGCAAATGGCGAACCAATTCTGAGTGGATCGCATACTTACTATCTCCGTCTTGTGAACTGCACGCTGCCAGCTGCCAGTTTAGGAATGTCTGCAAACAGCATTTTACGAACCGCAAACACGTGCTTGATCGGCGTAGACTCGATACGCTACTACAGAGGATTGCGAATATCCTGTGTTCGGCAGACATGTATGCGAAGTCACCATCGGTTCAGAGCGCATCGAACCTGGGCTCTTGGTGAACGATTATCGTCTCGTTCATAGGTGCTTCGACGGCTGAAAAGCACCAAATTTATTCATTTCTCCGCCTACATCACTTCTTTGCATCGATCGGTCGGACAGACGGCGAGATTTGTACATTAGTGACCACCTCCAAACTGACTTCAAAGTGTGGAACAAATGTCACAAGCTGCAATCATGTGAACAAGTCACAAATGACACATATTGCGGCCTTCGCGAGTTGTGGTTGTCTTGTCTCACAGCCCCATTCCTCGGGCTCAGCCGTGGGGTCGGCCAATCGGTCGCGCCTGCCTGGGTGGCGGTGCGATGGGAACAGGCAACCACCTTCTGCACCCCAACGTAAATCGACGACGCCAGCCATGACGACGACCCTCAAGGCAGTCGCTGCGTCGTTCTATTTTATGTTATCGAAACTTCACCTCACATAAAGCGGTCGCGCTGCCACAGCCCACTGCGACAACATCAAATTACATGGTCCCCAACCGGACAATGCAGACCATCAGCGCGCTCCCGAGGCGCCTAACGCAGCTGTACTCGGACGCCAAGGTACACTGCGACGCCGTCGTCGAGCAAGACAACCAGGACACGCAGTCGACCGTCCTCCACCGCAAACTACGGATCCAGAAGGACAGGCTAATAACGTGGGGTGTCGACTGGAGCGACAATGCAAAGGGCAAGAATGGCGACATCGACGAGAGCGTGGAGCAGGCGGGTCTCACCGAGATGGTGTCCAGTGTGCTCGGGACCATCAAGGAGACCCTCGACGAGGCTGAGCACATGCACCTAGCTGCTGCACCTGCAGCGAGCAAGACATTGTCAAAGGAGAAGAGCAGGCTGCCAGCATCTGATACGTCCGCGTGCGCGGCCGCCGATAGGTCACGTTATGAGGACCTCATCAAGGACCTTACTACCTCTATCGACATCCTCTGTGACCTCTCGAGGAACCGACGTGCACAGCGTGGTTACCACTCGGACGTTAAGAGTGTTCCTGAGCCTCCAAGACCGTCTACTTCAACTGCTGTCTTCTCAAAGCCAGAATACAGCGCCTCAGACCTTACGCTCGTCAATCCGGCTACATTCCCGCTTAATGCACATGCGCTGCATACCGCCGCACGCTTGCACCTTCCACCCAAGCTGAACCCATCAGATCTTGCCTTGCCCGAAGAGGAACCACCGCCTTACGAAAGCGTCGGTGCTTCATCCATCCGTGTAATAGGCCGACTACGCTCGCGCAACAGTTCGACAAACCCCTGGAAGACGGATGGGTTGCGCACTGTCGAGAAGCCTGTCCTAGTCGAGTACGCGACATTTGATCCCACCTACCGCTACACTGAGGTCTCCCCACCCACCGATCGTTTGGATACCCTCTTGTCTATCTTGACCAAGCTATCGAATGATCAAACTCATCTTGCTACCCTCAGGTGCTTAGGATACTTCGAAGATCCCCGGCAACCTCGATTTGGTCTTGTGTTTGAACTTCCATCATTAACCTACTCTGGTGCGTCTGATGCACATAAGACAATAGATGAGCTGCGACCTGTCACACTTCTCAGTGTACTTCAGACAGGCTCCAAGTCCCTCAACAACTCGAACAGCGCCACACCCCCACTTGAGGATCGCTTCCGCCTAGCCTACTCACTTGCTCTCACATTCAGCAAGATTCATGGACACAACTTTGCACACAAGGATCTAAATAGCAGTAACGTTCTGGTCTTCCGAAAGAACAGACGACAGTCTGCAAACACAAGAGCGCTGCAGTACACTCTTCGAGCTCCAGTTGTCTGCTCGTTCGACCTCTTTTCCGAGTACGACATCGAGGCTACTAATACTATGTCAACCCTCAACATTTATCGCCATCCGGAGGACCCTAAATTCACGGGGTCAAAGGAAAGGCACCATGGTCCACAGTTCGATCTATACAGTCTTGGCTTGGTCCTTCTAGAAATTGGCTTATGGCAACCACTTGCAGATTTGTGGAAGCCGAAGTACACTCTTGCCGACTTTAAGCAGCGTGTCGAAGATGTGTACATTCGACGTCTGGCATCAAAATGCGGCACTGCGTACATGCAGGTTGTCCGAGATTGCTTCTGGGCGGTTGACCGCATCGAGACTAACGCTGAGAGTCTGCAAGACTTCGCGCAGCTTTATAACCGCATCATCATCAGACTGCATAGGTGCTGCATGCTTGATGAGTCTGAGCCCAGCATCGACCCTCATGATGCGCGACTAGGACCTACACTACTGATGGGCTCCACTCATCTCAAGCGCAAGAGTGTCAGCCAGCCTCAGATTTTAGAGACGCCGACTAGTCCTTCTTACAGGAGTGCGAAACGATGGGCGCTTGAAAAGGGCTCTCAGGCCCTCGAGCGAACGAAGTCGTTAACAAAGTCGGGTACAAAGAAGTCCCCAGATCCCAACGCTCTGTCGCGAAACCCCTCACAGCGCTCGCAGCATTCACAGCACTCGATCCGCAAATCGATCTCCGAGACCATGGGTCTTACTAACCCACGGGAAGAGTCAATGGAGTCTATGAACTGGGAACAGCATGATCAGAGATCACTAGAGACCTCCGGTACACTGGTCCCTACGCCACACAGTTCGCAGGATCGAAGCGATATATCCTCGTTGTTCAGGGAGCAGATCGCTGCTGCGTCTATCATCCAGCGCGCATGGAGGGCATCGCGGTCACAATCGACTGTAAGCTCTGCCCTCGATGACTACAGGGAGAAGATCACCATCATCCAGACTGCCTGGCGGCAGAGGAAGCAGAAACGGACCCATTCCGTAGAGGCTCTCCTCACCGAAGGTATCCGTCACTGGCCCCAAGCTACCCTCGGCTATCCTACACCCGAGCCTGAGGTACATAATGCTGGCGTCGTAGAGCAAAACGACAGGTGTATCACCTCTTTCATACAGATACAGACCGACATCGAACCAACGCCTCGACCAAAGTTGCGATTGCATCCAGTGAAATTCACACCTGCAATCGTCGATGAATGGCATATCGCAATGCTCCCACGGCTCGAGCGCCTTGTCGAGTGCGCTCTCAAGGACTCGGATGAGACCGTAAGCATCGATCTCGTTGCAATTGGTGAGACTCAGGAGAAAGCTCGACCCACCATTTTCATCACATGCAGCAGTATCGCCAAAATCAAGGCACTGCTGGCGCGCCGCTTCCGTTATGATGAGAACGTGTTCGATCTCAAGGTCCGCCGGGGAAAGGTCCGACGATCTAAGATGAGCCGCTCTTCTGGACACACACGACCACCTCATCGCTCCATGATGAATACCGAAAACTACAACGCTGACATGACTGTCATGAATCCGTATCACCAACAGCGCCCTCTCTGTGGCGCATCCATCGGCGCCTTCAATGGCAAGCAGCATCTTCCTCCGGTCTCGTATGGTGGGGTCGTACTGGTCGATGATGAGCCACTTGGCATGAGTGTCCACCACCTGCTCGATGCACCATCAGATGACGAGAGTGAGACTGATGAAGAAGTTGCAGGCCCTTACCCGTACGATGCAGTTCTGTCGAGCGCAACTAGCAACAGCAATCCTTGGCTGATGGGCATGGGCGCTCAGCCTGGCCTTGAACTGGCCACCGATGCACCAGTACCGATATGGGATCTCGAGTTGTCTGATGACGAAGGAGATGTTGGAAGCGAGGAAGACGATGAAGCTGAGTCATTCAACTTCTCGGACTCAGAGTTCGACTCTGAAGACGACTCTGACCGGGAAGCGATGACGGACTCGACAATATCCCGTGTCACTGTCGGTGACATCGAAGGCATCGAGATCGGCGAAGGTGAAGAAATCAGAGTCACACAGCCAGCCATTGACGACGTCGACGAAGACTTTTTCCCGAACGAAGAAGACAAGGATGAAGACCATCTTGACTCTCATGATCTCGGCCACGTCCACGCATCCTCAGGTATACGCCGCTGGAAGCGTGACGGCGTCCTGCACGAGATCGATTGGGCTTTGCTGAAGCTCAACGATGACCGCATGCAGCCGTACAACGTATGCCAGGGCGGTCGCCGCTTTGCGTTCGGCTCGATGAAGCCAGACCAACGCGAGATATCCAGTAAGCTCGATGAGCCTGTCAACAGACGCCATTACAACCCTAGCGAGGACGAGTACCCAAACGGCGTAGCGGCCGCTGATTCCCTCGGCGGCCTCAACGTCCACTGCTTCGGCCGCACCACAGGTCTGCAAGGCGGCATGGTTGGCCAAGCCATGAGTTCCGTACGCATCTACCGTCGCAAATCTTTCTCTCGCAGCTGGTACGTTGCCGGCGGATTCGGCGTTGGCGGTGACTCTGGCGCATGGGTTATCCAGAACGATTCGCACCGCGTCGTGGGCCACGTGCTCGCCTGGTGTCAACGCAACCACATCGCGTACATCTGCCCCATGGAAGTCCTCCTCGAAGACATCAAGCGCACTCTGGGCGCTAAGCGCATCTACCTCCCTGGCTCAGACGAGCAGCGGGCTTTCATCGCCAGGCAGCAGGGGCAGAAGACAGCGATCGGCGTAGCTAACGCTATTAGCGAGCTGGAGTCTGCTGTCCAGGGCCTTGGCATCGTGGATAGCCATGATTCGGCTGTCGATATGCGGTCAGCTTATGGCTCGGGGATGTCGACGAGAAGAACCAGGCTTGATTTGAGTCCGTTGAACACGGGTAGCAGTGAAAGTAGCACGGAGAATCGCCGTGTGATGAAAGGCAAGGCAATGAGGGTTGGCGAGGGGAGAGAGACGATGGTGCAGATGGCCATCCGGCCCCAAGGATGACTGTTGCATGATGATGGCGTTTTAGGAGGATGATACCCTACTTGGATCGGATGGATGAGATACGTGTATTGAATCAAACAAGCAATGCTCAGCATTCGGGCCTTGCATTTCATCTCCGTATTGTAAATTCTTGTGCAGCTAAGCAGATCTCAGACATCTGCGAAATGAAAGATTCAGGCCTTCCGAAGATTAAGGGATGTGACGACTTCTATAGTCCAGATGCCTTAACCGATCCGAAGAGCACTGATACGTAAAACGTTATGACAAAGCTCAGCTACAGGCAAACACCAAAGTGACCGCATCTTTTAATGGAAGAAATCGGGGGCCGCAAAATGGCTATGCGGTTGCGGACTGTTACTTTCAGATCTAGATGGTCAGAATCACCATGGGGCAAAACATGATACTTTCTCTCGTCCTTTTGTTCCAGAGGAATACGAACCTCAGATGGATCCAGTGATGAAGGGTTCAAATCTCGCATTTGTGGTATATTGGGTCAGGAAGGACCATGGCGTTCGACGGGGTCTTGTGGTGTAGATGCCGAGCTCGTGAAATCAGGTGCCAGCTCTGACTGAGACCAGCAAGAGCATGAAGCAGGGTCGAGCGCACTTCGGCTACAAACATTCCTAGAGTGCGAACTGGCTTTAAGGAGAAAGCCAGCGCGGTACAACTATGTCGAATCCATTCTATGTCTCTTAGTGAGGAAACAGAATCAAATCGTACCCGTGGATCTAAGACTTTGGCCTATCGAAGAGCCCACGTGTCAAATCGAGTGTACATAACAATGCCAAAGCTAAGAGTCTGTATTTATAGAAGAGCTTCCTTCAATTCCTATCCGACAGTGTTTGAGGATTGCGCCAGCTGTGGACATCATAGGTCATCGTTTTCATCTCGTGCCGCAGCAAGATGGGAGAACATGGGTCTTACTTACGCATCTTCCAACTACATTTGTACGGCCGTGAAAAGAACATCTCGCGTTTCGACAGAGACTGGAAAGCGCGAAACAGGTTTGGGAAAGGCAGGAGGACTTGCCGCCCATGGTAATCTTATGTCGCTTTAGGTGCGGCATAGCAGCTCTTGCGCCTACGTTCGGTATGCATCGATGTCACCAAATGTGACAGCGAGCATGTTCATGGTAGCCACCTGCCAAGATTTACGATTTAAGGGGTTATGTAGTGCTTACCATCGCGTTTACACAGGCGCAAAACCAGACTGCTCTCTGCACACGTTATATACAGAGAGTAGCAAAAAGCTCGAATCGCCCGACGTGAGTTCGAGCCAGACTCGAACTCACAGCCTTGGGATCAAAAGTCCCATGTGCTAGCCCTGTACATGCATGATAAATATGACGTTATCACAAAAGAGTCTCACAGGAGACTCTTACAATTGTGCTAGCCCGGCAGAAAAAGAAAGCGTGTCCCCTGCCAGACTCGAACTGGCGGCCTTGGGATATCTGCTGAAGAGCAGTCACAGCGTGATGACTATGAGACCCACGTGATAACTGGTTGAATATTAGATGTGGAAGGCGGAAGTTAGAGTGTGGGGAAGCTCACCCAACTACACCAAGGAGACGCTGCAACCGGGTGATTGCTGATTCGATAAACAGCTGGCAGGATGGTTAGTGTATAATGGGAGGTGAGCAGAGGTCGAGAGGAGTGTTTGAAGATATTGATATTGTGTGGTGGAGTTGCTGGTAAGCGAATGGTTATCGGTGGGGCTGTGAGTCAGTGTTCGAGTGTAGTGATACCGAAGAGCTGTAAGGTGGGTCTTGATGGTCTTGAGGAAGAGGGTTTGAAGATGCGGTCCGTATCAGTTAAAGGCTGCTGAAGACCGCGATATCGTTGAGGTCTGGCTTTGCAAACCCCATGCGTTAAGGTAGACTTGCCTATAACATGCCGAGAGCCATGAGCGCTACATTGAAAGTTGACAAGAGGTGTGTTGGACTGAGAAGAGGCTGATGAGGTGCGTGGCCGGACCGGCTGGCTGGGTCGAATAAAACACGCCGAAGCCTCGATCACGGCCCGGGTGAAACAACACATTAGCTCAAGTTTCTCTGAACAAGCAGACCACTCGTTGAGAGATCATCCGAAGCATTGATCGTCAAACTACCCTTCTCAGCACGGAGCGGCACGAGGCGAAAATGACACCCGGCCGCGGCCGTAGCCGGGTACCCTGTTCGACTCCTGACCTCGCCTTCTCTGAAACACAGACCACACATCACTGCCACGAGGCTCTCATCGTCTTTGTGCGACACTCTTAAGAGACGAAGACGTAGTGTTGAATATGTCCAAAGCCCTAAATAGCCGCCGGGTGGGTCACCCGTTGGGCTGAACGCACCGCAAATCTGACACCAACGCCAAATGTGGAGCCGCTGGGCAGCCATGCGAACAGCATGGTGGGCTACCAGTCATTCGGAACCCAACTAGGGTCTCTTCGGGCAGCAAAGGATTCGAATTTTGAGGAATGTGAGTAGTGACTCATTACGCTGATAGTAGCGGCGCCCGTCGCGGGTGATGTGGAGATTGCTTTACAATGTTACAGCGGGTTAGTCGACGACTGTAATATACCCGCAGAACAAAAAACCCATATTGTAGTTCTTGAAGCGCGCGCGAGAAGGGCTGAGTTGAAAACCGAATTGGGTAGGCGTCCCACCAGTTCTTACTTTTTGGTGGTGGTGTTGTGGGTTGCGCTAGGCGAGCACGCTAGTCTTTGCAGACGCCACGGCATCACTGACCTTGAGACCGAGTGCTACTGGGTAAAGATCCTGCTGACCGTGTTACCTTCAAGATAAAGGCTGAAGTCTTTCGTGTGCAGCGGTGGGTGTTATTTAGTACGCGTCTGACCACAGTGCTGTTAGGGAGCCTCTCTTTGGTCACTGTAGGCTGCAGAGCGGCGGAACTACGAGGCGTCGAGATAAACGGTGCGATTCTGCACCGAGGTTTGACAGACCGAAGAGTGTGTAGAACAAGATCGCGCAGAACGGAGCTTGTGAAGTGCGTCGTTTCAGTTCGCTACAGTCTTGAAGCGAAGTGGGCCAGAGGCCGGCAGCGATCAGCAGTGGATGCTTTGACGGCCATGAGGCGAAATGCGTCAAGTTCCATTCGAACTGCTGATAGCCAGCAGTCAAGACAGCACAATCGACCTTCCATTTCAGGATGTGCATACATTTGCTCGGTGACCTGGTAGTCGGTTCTTTGATGTCGTGCAGCGACTTGGAGGAACACATTCAGCTGTGCCGTATGACGGAGGAATCAACCGTAAGTGCTGAGAGCTGTGAAGACAATGAGGCCCAGTTTGTACACAGATCGCACGCCACAGGCGTGGTAAAAGAGGGTGGGGGACCATTGGTCACGAGCGCACGCTTCCACGAAGCCTGGCTGGTCACGGCTTGCGGCCACGGCAGATCCATCAACAAATCGAAAGAAAAGACGGCCATGACCCTGAGCGTAAGCAGTGTCTTGCGTGTCATTGAAAGGAATGCAAGTACTTCAATCAAGGTGGAACGGATTGTCTGTAAGCTGTACTTCCTTGATGCCGATCACGTCTATAGAACGTGGAACAGACTCGGCCAGAGGGCTGTGAATGCCTTGGACACGAGAACAGTCATCGAGAATGCCACGACGCAGGCTGCGCATTGATGGAAGAGCTGGCTTGTGATGCTGAAGTGTCGTGACCGTTTGAACAGGTCTAGAAGGCATAAACACCACTCGATGCCATGCGTCTCTTCACCGGAATCCTCGGTGGTAGCGGGGTATCAAATGCAGAGCTTCGTCAGCGCGCGTGATGAGGGGAACTCTCGGAACGATGCGATATGGTTACACCGGGTACAGCTGTCTCCACGTCGTTGGTCCAACAGCCGGTAGTCGTACGCTAGTGGGTGCCATTTTCTGGAAGGCCATGATTCGCGGCGACCAGACGGGCACTTGTCAGTCAGCCCTGATGCTGAGAGCGATCGAAAGGACTGGTGTGGCGAACGGACGCATCTTCCGTGTCGCTGCGACATTAATGAAGTGTTGCGAAATTGAAGATGCTTTGTTGTTCCTGCATGACAGACGCCAATTGACGTGGCTAGCTCCCAGGAAAGAGGCATGACCTGCACTGGACTGTGCGTCTGAGATTATAGCGGGTTACAAATGATCGAAAAGGAAGTAGATGAAGCTAAGAACGAGTGGCCCTGCCATCGTTCGCCGTGTGGAACGTGGAGGACAGTTGCTGAAAGACGTAGGAAAGATAACACGGATGGGGAGCTGGAACAGCACGGATCAGCGGCGCTAAGATCGTTTCCGGCTCAGCTGCCGTGCATAGTGTAGATGAAATGGTCATGAATTGTAAAGCCTCTGCGAAGCGGTGAGCGCGCCCACAAGCAACAAGAGTGGACAGCAGCTCGCATGCAGAGGAGCGAGCGATCCCGGTTTCTGTTCGTCACTTGCGGCAGTCTCTAACCACTTAGGATAGCGATGCAGCTCTGTCTGAGACGTTCGCACATCTGGGTATGCCCAATTATAAGGACTCGTCTGGTAGGGCAGACGTGGCTATAATTACGCACATGGAAGACGTTGATCGTTACAAGGTACCGCCTGGTGAGGGAACGACCGCGTCGCAAAGTGCCGGCCGTGTCAATTGCTCCAGATGTCAGAATACTCCGTGGACGAGCAGACTGTGCGATGACGCTCCTCTTTTCCGAGGAATGTGGACAAGGCAGAGCACGGCGACACAAGCGCAACTGTGCGCTTCTCCGCAGCAGCGAGGCGCTCACAGCATGCAAAGCTTGGTGGGCGCTGCGTCACCACGGCGCACCGAGGGCCGCAGAGGGCGGAAAGATGCAGTCTTGTGACGGAGTGCATCGAGGGCAAGGGCAGAACGGCCCCTCCGCCGTCGAGCATAAGGCAGGTGGGCATCAAGCAGGCTGCAGTGCGCGCCCAACGACGTTAAGACGCAGCGCGCATGAGAGGCTATTACCAACTGGGGCTTTTAGCACGACAGGGCGGCTGGGCCGTTTTGAAATTTTGCTGGCGGGGACTCTTTGCGCTGCAGCAGTCGATGCCCGAGTGCGCCTGCATGCATGCCTGCCTGCACACTCAGTCGCCCAGACACCCCAGACTTCTTTTTCACTCTCCCTCCCTCGCTCCTTCCTCCTCACCCAGCCCACTCGACATGAGACGATAGCGGAGAACCACCCACGACCTGTGCAAAATGCGCACCCTGCGACAGCTGCCCGTCGCCTAATTGTTGTCGCAGTCGATCGCCCCGCGGCCGACCGCCATTTATCGATAGCCTCCCGCCGCTAGACATTTTACCGACCAGCCCTCCGCCTCAGCCTGATGCTGCAACTGACCGCAGGCCCCACGGCCACAATGGCGAAGTCTCACCAGGCCACCGTCGAGGATTACTTCTCTGACGATGGCAATCATGGCGTGTCCATCGAGCCTTTCACGCCGGAGCCCTCGCCCGGCAAGGCAAACGTTCACACCAAGCGGTCCAATCCTGAGGATATGGGGAGTGACAGGACCCCTAAAGGAACAGTACCAAACAACGTGGACGTCAAGAGCGACTCTGGGTATTCCAGCCAATCCGCCGCCGGCATGAGTAGCGCTGATTCGGCTGCAAGTGCTACTTCGTCCCAGAGGAGCCCGCCTGTCCCTGCCGTCAAACCGGCACCTCCTTCCCCTACCCCAGCGCAGAAGCCCTCGCGACCTTCCCAGCACCACCGCCAGCAAAGCTCACAGAGTACCCAGAGCGTGCCGCGTTTGTCGCGCAGAGACTCTCAGACTTCGCGACGCCCTCCTGAACGCCGGCCTATAGTCACGACGCAGCCCGCACCTCCTCCCAAACGACGGGACAGCCGAAACGTCGAAGAATGCACGATCCCTGGTTGCACCAAATGTGGTCCTGATGCCATCGAACCTCGATCACGACCGTCACGGCGCCAGTCCATGCTGAACACACAGCCGGCCGAGTCAGCCCCCGATGTTTCTTCTTACTCTCATCCGTACGACACACGTTCGCAGGTTTCAGACCCTGCGCAATACCTATCGTCGCCTAGGGAGGATCGGGCCCAACGAATGTATCAAGAAAGGCAAGGCGGACCTGTCACCCAGCCTGCCATCAGCCGTCGACTCTCTGTGAACCAGCGGCCGGCTCGTCCCACCAGCTACCACGGCGACCCGAATCACAACTGGCAACACCCAGGCATGCCCACTCATCCAGGCACGCCTACTGAGCATGGCCCGCCTCTTTCAAGGTCGGCGTACGGCAACATGCATTATCCGCAGCACCAACCCCAGCCGCAATTGAACCTTCCATACATGCAACAATTTCCGCTGCAGGGCCAACACCCACCTGCGTTCTACCAAGCGCAGCAGATGCAACCTGCGCGTGAGCAGCAGAGGCCTCCTTTGCACGCACGAGCTTCCCATGCATCTGCTTATAGTTACCCTGTGTCAACACCAGGGGTACAGGTAGAGCGTAGCGATCGATGCATGCCCTCGGCAAGATACCACAGCAATGCTCTACCTCAGCCTTGGATACAGCGCAACCGTGAGGAGGAAGTATCAGAGTTCGAGTCCAAGTCTGAGTCTGAGTCTGAAGAAGAGGATCACGAGCCACAATACCGATCGCAAAGGATGCGAGAAGGTGCTCCCCGGCGGCGTCCTAGCTTACGCCACGCAAATACTACACCTGCTCCGCCAGCACCCGAACCAAAACGACCGCAGACCGTTGTCATACCTGAGCGACGTGATCCTCCCATCCGCGACCGCGCTGATTCTCGATCAACCCGACGCCAGTCCATGAGTAGACCACCGCTCATTCCCTCGATCAAGTCTCAGTCGGCTTATGATACTTCACAAGCCCATGTCATTGTAGAAGGATCTCGACCATCCCGTCGCGAGGCATTGACAGCTTACGACAGGAGCGTCAAGGAACATCGCAGGACACGGCGACAGGAGTACAACGAGCCGGTGCAATCGAAACGATCTTCAAGAGCTTACGAAAACGTTATCACTACCGGTCATGACTATGAGCGAGATTACTATGATGACGAGGGACCTGAACTTCTTGCTCGTGCTCCTCTCCGTCGTCGTGGTACCGACGCTGATCCCCGTCGGCGGCATGGTCCTGTCATCAGACAGACTGCTGATGCCGAAGATTACATAACCGCGAGTCGAGGGGAGCGCGATACACTCGCTGATCAGTCATACGCTATTGCGAAGAAGCGATCGTCACGCACGTCTGCCGGGCCCTCTGAACCCGAGTCCTCTCGCAGTAGGGGCAGCGAAAACAATGGCGAGATTCGTCTTCTCATCGCAAACGACGCTCCAGTTACCTTCAAGCTTAACGGAGAACTGGAGGGTCGCAGCATCCAGGTCGTACCTGGTGAGAACGGACAAAACGAGTTGGTTATTAGCGGCAACGGTCGCAACAGCGAAAGTACCTATCGCAGTGAGAGAAGTAGCGTTCGAGGTGACAGGAAGGCCATAATGCCTGCTAGTCAGGCTCGAAGAGATGCTGAAGAGATGACGGAACGAAGCTCGCAAAGCAGTCGCAGGAGGCGAGAGACGCGAGGTGAACATGATGAGCAACCGCGACGTGTTCTACAAGGACGAGTCCGCAGGGAGCGAAGAGAGCCCGAGTACCACCACTATTAGAGGGTTTCACGACGCTTCGACAGTGATGGGAAAGCTCTTTACTCGCATTTGCCCCTGCGTGCGCCTAGTCGTAAGCGTCGCAGCATCCGTTCGACCTTGTCTCTCGTAAGTCCTTGCAGAATGCTTGAGCCTCCCCAAAAGTTTCGGCGGACATGACTGCTTCAAGACAGAACGGAAAGGTTGCCTCAAAAGTTGGCCAAGCTCTTTTCTTCCCCCCCCGTCTGGTACGATTCCCAAATTGCGTTTCTTGTTGGTTTGCTGCGTTTGCGACAGTGCAGGTCACATTGTTATTGTTTGCTAGACTGGAACGCTCACGCACACGAACACGATACACATGTGGGAGCTGCACCTGCTGGACACAGATTGTAGGATGTGCAATTCGGTTGCTGTGGAGCGATCTACTGGGCGATCTATTGCGCGTTTTCTTTTCCTATCTTCGAGGATATCTTTACACTTGGTCTCGTTCTATACCTGCTCCTGGCTCACGCCGGGAGGTTGTTCGGTTTTTGGATGGATTTAATACCCTTTTTGTTTTGTGCTTGTTTCTTTGGTCATCAAAAGGGGAATGAAGTTACATGACGGCAATGATGGATGATTTGACGAAGGCATGTTGGGCATGACAACCACGTAGCGTTGCTATTGGTAGGGACAGGAACAGAAGGAAATCAGCATGGAAAGGTATGGTGCTGCTAGCTGGCACCCTCTCGATTACAGACAGGAAATTCGATCACTGCCCTACGAATATACTTCAGCCCGACTTCATGTTTGCTTTTTGTAACCTTGACCACTTTCGTCGCGGCCGAACCACAATCGTCAACTCACCCCTCACACGCGACTCCGCTTACCACTATTCGTCCAGACTCGAAATGGTTCCGCGATAGCATATCACGTGTCGACGCCCTCGCTCATCTATCTCAGCCTCACTTCGCTTCCTCATACCACATACGTCTAATCACCTCTCCTTGCCCTAGCCAACACATCATCACTCCTTCTGCCCTTCCAGCCATCCACGCTTTCCACTCCACCCGACCTTGCCCACCCTACAACCCTGCTCCCCACCTGCCACATCATGATCCACTTTCGACGCATCCAGAGGCCCACGTACCACGCATACCCCGGCCTGTAGCGACGCCATGACTCAAAAGCAAGGACCCAGGGCCAGAGATCTGGGTCGCGCCTTCCTTGCCGTCTTGAGTGTGTACGGTGATGGTCTGGGTTTCGATGGCGTGATTGCTCGCATGGGTTTCTGCGTCGTGCCGCTGCTACTCCTCGCTGTCATCGAATGTCTCAGAGAAGTTGATCAACGATGTGAACTTCTCCAGCTCCTTCCCAACACCCAGTTCCTTTCGCGCCTTCTCATCAGCAAGCCACGAGACAGGCACCAAAGCCATCGATCCGTGCTTGTTCTTGACCAGCCTCGTCTTCTCTTTACTCGTAGGCTTTGATGGCATACAGACAGTCGATTTCACCGCCGTGATGCCATTCGTACGCTTGTGTCGATGCTCGAGGATATCGACATCGATAGTGCGGAGCGCAGCGAAGTGATAGATATGGACCTGCTTCTCTTGACCGTACCGCCGACTTCGTGCGATGGCCTGTGTCATTGCCGAATCATACTTGTATTGACTCTCAACGAGCAACGGCGAGACGAAGATGATGTGGTTTGCATTGGTGAGATTACTGCATGACATCAGCGCAAGTGACGTTTCACGTAAGGTACGTTGACTTACACTCCTGCGGCGGTCTCACTGGTCAAGTTGAGCAAGAGCACCTTTGGACGGTTCTCTGGATCCTCTTCGACACTCGCCTTGAACTCCTCGATGATCTTCGCCGCCTGCGGTGGTTTACAGCCGCTTGGCGTATAAAACAGGATGCCATGGTGATCAAGCACCTCACCTAGCATTGCAACCGTTTCATCGTTGGGTGTGAAGACTAGACCCTGGTCATCGGCTGGAATTTCTTTGATAAGTCGCGCGATGTCATCCATCTTGCGGCCAAAGCTGTGTTCGGACACTGTCTCCGGTGTCGAGCCAAGGTCAGTGGCTCTAATCAAGTTGACAGCTTGGACGGTGCAGCTGCAACCAGTAACAACGCAGTTCTCATCATCACCGCGCGCCAAAAGGCAAGGCTCACAGGTGAGGTGCCCGCATTGGGAGGCCAGATAGATCTCGGAGATGATGGCTGTCTTCTGACAATGCTCAGCATCGCACGATATAGGCTCGTGCGAATCTTCGCACAATGGTCGCAACAAATCTTGCACATTGCTGATGAAACGCTCTGATCTCGTGCGCAACGCGAGCTCAACACAGGAATCGCGTAGGTGTGACATGATCTTCTTAGCTTCCCTGATCATCTTCTCTTTCGAAGCATTCTTCAGCTCCTCAAAGCCTCCAGAAGTAGGCTTTGTTTCCGCTTTCAAGAGAAGAACCTTCGACTTTGTCGTCGCATCGTAGTCTCCAAGCCACGCGTGTTTCCTGATGTCCTGCGTGAAGCTTGCCCATAGCTTGGGGACAGTGTTTTCCTCCGTCTCTGCTTTCTTTGGATCGGTAGGTTTCAGGCCCTTGAAGCCAGTGCGCTTGTGCCACACAAAAGCACGCATGAGTCGCGAAATCTCATGCTCAGTCTCACGTCGCTGTTCAGATCTCTTTCGAAGAAGCGAGTCCAGACCGGACTCCCCTGCGCTGGTCTCGTTGAGCAGCGCAGCCTTCAGCAGGGCGTCTTCAGCTGTTTTTGAATTGTTCAGGCTGGCATTAAGTCTACTGACCCTATCCGATTCAGCCTTGTTCTTGAGCCTCTTCACCTGCATTCGCTGGGAGATCAAATGCTGGGAGAGCTCAAGATACACTGCGTGGTGGGCAACGGCCAGATGAACTGCTCGCAGATCTTCATGACACGGAATGTGCCCCAATGAGGCTTCATTTTGCCGAACGAATAAGTCCAAGAATTCTTGTGCCCGATCGTGTCGAGCTTGATGCCATTGGTGAGACATGACTTCGGTCTTGGATAAGAAGCGCTCAACAGCAGTCTGGTCGTTCACGAGGAATTTCTCTAGCGAGGTCAGCTTGCCAGATCCAACGGCGAATCTACCCAGTCTGACACCTAAGAAGGATGCGATGTTGCTGATATCTGTGAAGTTCGCCAATGCAGGCGTTCCAGAAAGAATCCATCGCTTGTGCGCAGCCACCTTCTTGACGCTAACTGCCGTGAACATGTTCTTGATTAACTTATAATCGTTCAGGTAATGGTACTCGTCAACCACGAGACGATTGAACCTGAACATATGCAGAAGAGGCACAACCTTGTTGTTCAAGCCGGACGATTTCCGCTTTAAGGATGACCTATGCTGGGTGCTCGGCTTTTGGCCGTTGGCATCTCGAATGGTCTGGTATGACTGGTAGCTGCTTCCGTGCTGCAGTCTTAATGGTAGTGTGGCCTGGAAGACAGGCTGCTGCAAACGTTCGTCAAGAAGATCTTGTGTGGCTCGCTTGAATTCGTCCATATCCATAGACTGCATTAGAAGGACCTGAGACGGCAGATCTTTGACAACACCATCCATCCAGGCATCAAATGCTCGACAGCTCGAATTGGCAGGCTCGGGCATCGCTGTTACCCGCGCCAGCTCGGAGATGTATTCATCGTCCGACAGCACCGTCCAGGAAACAACGACCACTCGACTGCGCTGGAGATCGTCAATGGTCAGACGTTTGAGCTCCGCAAAATCTCTGATAACGCGGATATCGAATTCCTCGTATTGCTGATCGCCCAGAAAGAGTCCCAGCTCTGTCTGCCATTGCATTGCGATGTGTGGAGGGCAGACAATAAGCGTTGCTGCAGTGTCGATGAGCTGTGGCGAAGGTTTAGCCACAAGTTTATTCTGCTCGAGTATCGTCTCTGGTGATGAAACTTCAAATTCGCTCTGTATCAACGCGATAGTCGTGACGGTTTTGCCAAACGACGGCAAGTCAGCAAGAACACCGCCCCGAACTGCAGTCGTGGTCTGAGCACGAGCTTCCGCTCTCCAACCAAGATCATGGTGTACAGCCTCCTCAACTTCTGTGATTGCGAGCGAAATACCAGCTTCTTGAGCATGCATCCAAGCCAGAGCCTGCGGTTGCGCTCCGCGTAAGTCGTGCATGAGGCTCAATGGCCCTGAGAATGGCGCATCATTTGCGTTACTGCGTAAACGAAACTTGGTCTGTGAAGGCGCGGTGTCCGCGTGATCGGTCAAAAGTCTCCAGGCAGTACGGGAAGGGCCCATGCTGCCTACGCGTGCGAGTCGTCCTTTAGCTCGATGCACGAGCGAGGGAATGTTGATACCAATTTTGATACGTGTCTGGTTCTTGCTAATTGTTGGCTGCTGATGGAATACAGGGCATCGAGTCTTGACTCCGCGTTCGAATATGGCTGCTGCCTTGCGATTTTCGTGTGGTGTAGCTTTACCAGCTTGGTCCACGCTCCACAGGAGACTTGGGTAAGTAGGCGCACACTCGCAGTCGCTCTGAGTGTCGACACTGATGGACTGCCAGTCGCTCAGCGAAGGTGCAGCTTTAATAGGCTCTAAAGCCCAGGAAAAGTCGCTGGACTTCTGAGCTAACAAGACCTCCGGCACAGTAACATCAAGCACAGTGACTGCGTTTGTACATGTGTCCGTAAATTTCGTTAGAGGGGTGCCGGGTTGGAACACTTTCGCAGCAGGTGCAAGCTCGGACGTTGCCAGTCTCGTTGAGACAGTCGTCCACGATCCAGCAAGCATCACGTCGACGCAATATTCTTTCGCATCACTGGCCTGCCATGGTCGCCAGGCTGATTTCAAACGAGCCACAACCATCCGAGATTCGCCATATCGCTTTCTGCTGCAATCCTGGCTGAAAATGAAGCCATCTTCCCTCGCCTCACCGATGGGGTCTGGGTCCAGGAAGAGATACAAGGTGGGTTTAGCACATCTCTTATATAAACTGTATTCAGCGGTTCCACAGTAGGGCAGGCGCTGATAAACGCCTTGGAGGAATTTAATCTCTCCGCTCGTATCATGTACTTGGATCTGCGCTGGTACAGTCTCGGCTTGATAGTCTGGCAAGCCTAGAAGATTTCTCCATGACTTAGACCGACCACCAAAACCGCGAATATGTAGAGAGCGTTCTTCGTTTGACGGCACGAATACCTCCCAGTCAACGTTGAGAAGTGAAAAATCAACCTTCGCTCGTGCGATCGGGTTGTCGAGTGCTTTGCGCAAGTCGGATTTGCTGGGGACCTCCAGCGAACAATCAACGAAGAGGCGCCATTGCGCTCCGTCTCCAATTGAAAGCTCAATCCTTGCGTTGTCTCCCAGGTACACAACTTTCCATCCATTGTCGCACCGCACGAATTTACGCAAGTTGAACTGCTGCGATCCAATATTGACTTCGACGATCCTCTTGACGTACGCCTCATACCTGTTTCGCTCCGTTTGTAGTTGAGACAAGTGACCATTCAGGTTCGGAAACTTCTCTAAGTTTAAGCGTGAGGGCAATCGCGGTCTCCAGTATCTGATAAATTCGTTTGTTGTCTGCTGCCGGCATTCTCTAGAAATGTTGTCCGCGTACTGGTGCCTAGGGTTTGATGCGCACTTCGTGCATGCTGTGTGACTACATCCCGAGCAGATCTTGATGTCCGATTCAGCAATTTGTCGCTCGCCCTCGCAAGCACAGAGCCGCGAAGTGAGCTTTGCTTCACGCAATAATTGTGCAATATCAAGATCCTCTGGGTCTGCTGGACGATACTTGTGCACTAGCAGTGTACCAGCGTGGACGAGGCGATTCTGTATTGCGGGCTTTGGTGAAGTCAGGTCCAGCACATCGGTTGAGGTGTTCGTTCGAAATGCTCTTGAACCATGGAGGATAGCGGATATCAAAGACGCTCCAATTACAGTCGTGGACATTGCGTTTCCTGCGAGATCTTGACATTCTCTTTGAGTCTCACCTGCAAAGTGAAGCTTATCAAGAGGCATGCCTTGCAGAACAAGCGTCTGACTGCCGCTCAATGCGTCTTGACGGTTGCTGCCAAAGTCGCAGCCTCCAGGAGTGATGCAAGGCACTAGACCCATGCCCATCTTGAAACGATCCACATTCTGGCTCACATCCCAAATTCTCATCTTAAACATGGAATCGTATCCGTCTTGGGCAGCAAGCAAATGAGCAACATCGATTGCATCGTAGACCCGTGAAGACTGGGAGTCGTACCATTTACGATTGGCGTAATCGGGTGGGCTGGGAAACGTCAGTCCTGAGATCAAGGATACATGCTGATATAGGATAAGATCAACGACCACCACTTACTGCAAAGTTCCGTTCTCACTCCATTGTGTGATTGGACGGCGGGTGCCCAGCTTCTGCTCTGAGCGGATCTGATCGTACCTCAGTTTGCAGAGGCTCCACTCGGGTTCGGAAGACAATGTCGAATGGTCAATTACGCTGACTGGCAGATCGGTGAGGAATGCTTCATAGGGACTGCTGCATTGTCTCTGCAGCTTCTGCATCGTAGACGTCCAGTTAGCGGCAGCCTCACCAACCTTCTTGCCGTACAGCCTGCGGTTGATTGCGATCATGTACATCCGCTCACGAGTCTGTGGGATGTAATAGTTCTTCGTGTCACAGTAGACCCAAGCTGCCTCGTAACCGATCTTCGACCACCTCGATACCACATCATCCCATGTCCGCTTATCGCTCTTGACGTTCTCTAACAGCACAATGCCTGGCTGGAAGCGCTTGACGTAGAAGTAAATGGCTCTCCATGTATCGCCAGTTTCGCCCTGGTCATCAACGGTCTTCTTGCGGCTGTTCAGAGAGGACAAGTCCTTGCAGACAAAGCCAGCAATAAGTATGTCCAAGTTGCCCGGGATCTTCTCTTCTGCTCCGTACGCAGTAGTCGCTGTGTCGACAATTTCATCGCCAAGTTGTCGAACGTCTCTGAAGAGGATAGGTGGGTGAAAGTTTCTCTCAATGTACGCTTGTTTAGTGGCATCGATTTCCGCGCTGAAGTGATGTTTGAGTCGCAGAGGGGCTTCACCTCTCGCATCGAGTGCTTCCGACAACATTTGCAAGAAAAGAAGCGGAGACTCCGTGCCTGAGCACATTGTCGCCACGTTGATGGACCGACCGTCGAGACTCTGGAGGACCTCAGATAGCCCAAGCTTGATGGCCTTGGACGTCATGTCTGCAGTGATATCGCGAATGTTGTTTAATGGAGGAAGGCTCAAGTCTAAGCCTTTGCCTTGCTTTGGGGGCAGCTGTGATCTTCTTCGCAATGTAGATGTGGGTTCTGGCGCAATGTCCACGTCTATGGAATCAGCATCTTCCTCGTCTCCGTCCTCATCTGCAGAACTTTGAGCAGCATCTTCGAATTCATCTTCACCATCAATCATGCTCTCCGCATCTATCTCCGGATCCCAGACTTCATCGTCGTCTTCCTCCAGGTCTTCGTCTGATGCATCGCTCGGGGCCAATTCGACGTACGATGGCCGAGCACGACTACGGCGCAGACGTGATGTCTGTGCATCTGTTCTTACCGTGTGAGGTCGCGAGGCACTTGAAGCTTGATTGTTTAAATCGTCACTGTCAAACGTTGATGCTTGTATTGCGTCAACATCGTTAGGCGTGGGGCTGGTCACGGAACCAGGCGATTTTACAATCTTCGTGCTTTCCGTGATCAGCTGGAGATCTGCCGACTCGTCATCCGCCATCTCGATATCCGTGGCAAGAGATTGACTATCTTCTGCGGCAGAGTCATCCGGAGTGGCCTCCTGTACGGTGAGGGGTGAGAATGAACATCTGTCCCGCCTGGAAGCTCTACTCGATCCACGTACGAGCGCAATGTTGAGTAGTGCGGCACTATACTCTGCCGTCGTCCTATCAGCATCACGACCATCACGCACAGATGAAGCGTGAGAGGCGCGAGTACTGGTCCTAGTTTTGCGACTGGAGCTATTGCTAAGGGCCTCCTGGCTTCCGCCCAACGCAAATTGCTCCTTTGTTCTGACTGACGTTTGTTTGCTGTCGCTTTCTAGGGTAGATGAGGCCGTTGCTGTGATCTGTCGAAAAGATCTTTGCGTGCGAGAAGGCGGGGCCGCAGTCGGAGGTACAGGTGAGGGCGCTGGGTAAGGAGCGGTGTCCGTTGATATGGAGCGTGATCGCTCCGCCATAGCTTCTTGACCGTCTATAGCCGCTCTGTTCTGTCCGGGCTCTGGCGTAGGTAGACCCAGAAACGAGCGTGTGTTGGCGTTGAACTTGCGCTTGGTGGGAGCACCGCAGTTCTTCTTCCACTTGATACATGGCTCACAAGAGGATTTCCCATCCACATACCAGCAGTTGTTAAGCCCCCTCTTCTTGCATTGTGGGCATCGAGCCTCGCTCTTCGCAATCTCCTCTGCTGTAGCTGGTCTGCATTTGTACTTCTCTTTGACACACCTCTTGCAATTGCCAGAGTCATCTTCGTACACGCAAGTATATGCGTAGTTCCCGCCGCGGCGGCGACACACAACGCAGCAATCGGCTGGCACTGAGTCTTCGTGGGACAGCGTGGATGCGATAGTTGATGTCTGGCGAGATCGAGGGGCATTGGATCTCTCTGCAGAATGTGTCAGTTTCATTGTTGAATCCTGCAAAAGGACGGCTCACCTGCAGCGCGCTCTGGATGACTCCTTGGTTGCGTTGCGCTCTGTTTCTTGCTTTGCTCTCTCACTGGTGTGCCTGTGTCCGAATGTTCGATAGCTCGGCATTTTCGTGCAATAGATCCAAGAGACGCATCATCCTGTTCGTCTTCGCCAGCTGCTTCTGGACTTGCCGGACAAGCGTGTTTTCGCGACGAACGCCGCAAAGAGACTTGGATTGATTCAAGCTCCATTTTGCCGCAATTGCTCACTCGATTACGCTGTAAACAATGTGGGTTAACGGATAGTATTGAATTTGCAGAATTGAAATAGAGGCGGAGTTGCGCGCTTTTGCGGCCAGGTAAAGCGTGTGTTTGTCGTAGGACTACCTAGTGAACGCGTCGCGCTATCCCACACGCGTTTGCGCCTAAGTACCAGGTACCTAGCGAAAACCAGGGTCCAAGTGACAACCCCACTCACTTGTCTATCCAGCCATGAATGACAAGCAAACACAGCTAGAGATAGCAGAACTTGAGTCAACCATTATAATGCGTAAGCAAGCGATGGTCCAGATGGTAAATGCTCAAGAAGCAAGCGGAAGTGCTACTGTGTTGAGAAAAGTGCGGCCATGATCAAAGGGCGTGAGCTCGCGTCTAGAAAGTACAAGCGTCGTTTCATGCATACGAAGGTACCCGCACGCTCGATACTTACCCTTTGTACAGTGGCTATACAACCACATTGACTCGCTCGAGACGTATACAGGGGCTCCTCTATCACTTCTAAGAGCTTCTCGAGGTCTATCAAAGCGCACAACGACTATGTCTGACCCCAACATCTTCGAAGATCTCAGCGGAATCTCAACCTCGTCTTTCAGCAACCCATACCAAGCGCTGATCGCAGCCTGCGAAGATGACCCGGTATGGACATGTTATACGCTATTGCTAAGGACATATGACCAACAGATGATGCAGGTACATATCCAGACAAGGTATGCCCTTCATCGAGCAACAAGAAACTCTCAACAAAAGGCCAAGATGCTAGACGCAAGCTTCTCTGGGGTCAGCATCGACCCCATCTTACTAAGGTTGAGCGATCCAACAATCGAGCCTGGCTACGTAGATCCAAGACACTGTCTGGTATTTTGGGGCCGACCCACCACCAAAGTGAAGGACCTCATCTGCCGAGTTCAGCAAGAGCTATTGACTGTTGCACCCAGTGAGGTCGTCAACTATCTTCAGGCTTCAAATGGCTGACTTTAGATAGATCTCTGGCTCATGCCTCGAGACTGCCAACACATCACTGCATTGGAAGTGACACATTCCAAGACAGCAGAACAGATCCAGCAGTTGGTCGATCAGACGCGCGACAAGGTGCCCGCCATCACCGACTACACCTCCAAACACCGTGTGCGACTCATCAAGCCAAAAATCGGGTATGACGCTTCGGCGCTTGCTCTGAGCTTTGTGCCAGCTGCCGGCGAAGGCCTTCATTCTGAACGAACGCCTGAAGACGACAGATTCACATACCACCATCTTCGCCGTGATCTCTTCGATCTCGTTCAAGACACTGGCGTCACGGTTGAATCTCGATACGTCGTGCCTTCGAGTCATCTGACGATCGGCCGCTTCATCAGTACCAAAGACCTCGCCGATGACCAGGGCTCTCCTGATCCTGCAAAGATGGCTACATTCATTGAGAAGATTGAGGAAATCAATGGATGGCTAGAGAAGGAGTTTTGGCCAGAGCACAATGGCGGCAAGATTCCTGACGGTGGCGAGTTCAATCTCGGAGAAGAAACTGGACTGGACTACCACATGGGAACGCTGTGGTACGGGGGTGGAGAGTCAGTTCATCGTGGGAGAGGCTTCTAGACGTGAGAGACGGCATAATAGGCGCTTGCGGCGGTTGTCTAGGACTGGGCGACGATAGATCACGTAGCTACTTATACAACGATACACGTGTGTAGCCGTGTTCCTTTATCTGATGAATGTTGGCTTTGATGCGCCATAGAAAGGACTCTTGAAGGGTCGAAAATGACGTGTGGCGCTTTGCGGGGAGCGGCGGAGGTGGCACTCCGCTTGGGCCAGTGTGCTCAGCCCTCGTCGAAGCTCCAGCTCATGGAACAGCTCTGACACACTAATATCCTTACTCCCCGAGGGCAGCTTGCACACGTTTTCGCGTTTTGGATATTCCGAAGCTTTTAGTCATTCTACCCCGATCCAAAAATACGCCCTCGACGTTTCTGCTTCAACGACACGACAGCAGTCGCATTAGTGGGGCTGGACACCCGTTACTGCTGCCTTTCCTTTCCGCATACGTGTACACGACTCACAGAACTTCATTCATAGAAGTGGAGCTCTCCCTTCACCGCTGAAACAAGCAACATGTTCAATCGCGACCGACTCCCAGGTCTTCCTGGAAGCTCCTCAAGGCCTCCACCACGCAATGACGGCTACGGACAACCTCCACCGCAACAACCTCGACAGCCTGACACTAGAATGGGCGGCTATGATGATCACCGACAGCAGGGATACGAAGCACCCCAACAGGGTCATGGCGCTCCCCAACAGCGCATGCCGGCCCGTGGACCTCCTGGTAGCGGTGGATCTGCTAGACAGTTGCGCCCCATCAAGAGCCCCGGAGGCAATGCGTATGCCTTTGGTAACTTGTATGTATCCCATGTACGTAGACGGAGAGATTCTACTGATATCTTTCAGGGTCGCAGTATCACCCCAAGACTTCCCACCGACGCCCGACGGCAGCGACATCTACATTCTCTTAAACGGCAACTATGTTCTGTCTGCGCGACCCACACAAGGCTGCCAGCCCGGCGAGATTGGTCTCACAGATGCGCAAAGAACTTGGGCCGGTATCACACTCGGTCCCCAAGACATGGTCGCTGTACAACCCTACGATGCATTCAGCCAACAGGGTGGACAATCATACTTGGGCGGGGTTGAGGTAGAGGTCGGGTTTGCTGCCAGGAAGACCACAGACGCTCCCTATGACCAGGACGAGCTCGCGACGCAGTTCAAGAAGAACTTCGAAAACCAGGTTTTCGCGCCAGGACAGCAGCTCTTGCTGGACGTCAAAAACATCCCTCTGCGCATGTCGATACGGACGGTGCAACTCGTCGATCTTTCGATGGAGAAGACAGAGGCATCTGCTCCTCCCCTGACAGATCCCCGAGCGCGAGGTATCCTTACCAGCCATACCCAGGTAGACTTCTTCAAAGATGCGCGGACAGACATCAAGTTGAAGGCATCGAACAGGCGACCAGCTGCCAACTCGATCATCCAGCCAGGGTTCAAGTTCGAAGACATGGGCATCGGTGGCTTGGATAACGAGTTCAGCGCCATCTTCCGAAGAGCTTTCGCTTCCCGTATCTTCCCTCCTGGCCTGGTCGAGAAGCTTGGTATTCAGCACGTCCGAGGTATCCTTCTCTACGGTCCTCCCGGTACCGGAAAGACTTTGATTGCGCGTCAGATTGGAAAAATGCTGAACGCGAGGGAACCCAAGGTCATCAACGGACCCGAAGTCTTGAACAAATACGTCGGCCAGTCTGAGGAGAACATTCGTAAGCTCTTCGCAGATGCCGAGAAGGAGTACAAGGAAAAGGGCGACGAGAGTGGTCTCCACATAATCATCTTCGACGAGCTCGACGCCGTTTGCAAACAGAGAGGTTCCAGTGGCGGTGGTACTGGTGTGGGCGACAGCGTTGTCAACCAACTGCTGTCGAAACTCGATGGTGTGGATCAGCTGAACAACATTCTGCTCATCGGTATGACCAACCGAATGGACATGATCGATGAAGCGCTTCTGCGAGCTGGTCGTCTGGAAGTTCACATGGAGATCTCGCTGCCAGACGAATCCGGTCGTGCACAAATTCTCAAGATCCACACCACGAAGATGCGCAAGAACGATGTCCTCGAGTCCGATGTCAACGTTGAGGAGTTGGCCAAGCTTACAAAGAACTTTTCAGGTGCCGAGCTCAACGGTCTGGTGAAGGCAGCGTCTTCATTCGCCTTCAGTAGACACATCAAGGTTGGCACAATGGCAGCCATCAACCCTGATGTTGAGAACATGAAAGTCAACAGGCAAGACTTCTTGCAAGCGCTTGAAGAAGTGAAGCCACTCTTCGGTGTCGCTGAAGAAGAACTTGGAAAGCGCCTTCGTGGTGGTGTCATCCACTACTCGCCATTCATCAAGGACATTCTGGAAGAAGGCCGCCTGTACATCAACCAGGTCCGAAAACCAGATTCAACCCCCATTCTCTCTGTTGCGCTGCACGGCCCACCTGGGAGTGGTAAGACGGCGATGGCCGCGAAAATGGCCATTGACTCGGGTTTCCCATTCATCAAGCTCGTGTCACCAGAGGACATGGTAGGCTTTAGCGAGATGCAGAAGGTACAACAGCTCGACAAGACTTTCCGAGACGCGTACAAGAGTCCCCTCAGCGTCATCGTGATTGACAACATTGAGATGCTCGTTGATTGGGTACCCATTGGGCCGCGCTTCAGCAACACTGTGCTTGTTGCGCTCAAGGTCCTGTTAGAGAAGCAGCCACCCAAGGTAAGCCACACCTATTGCATTACAGTCCGTAGCAGCTAAATTCTTTCAGGATCGCCGACTTCTTATCTTCGCGACCACAACCGAGCGCTCGGTTCTCACTCAGCTCGACCTGTTCAGTCGTTTCGACGCCGAGATCGCAGTGCCGAACGTCAATACGCAACCCGAGCTTGCACACGTTCTTCAGGCGTCTGGTGCGTTCTCAGACCGCGATGAGCAGCGCGCTATTAGCGAGATTCAGGAGATCACGGGCAGCACGGACATTGGCGTCGGTATCAAGAAGATACTCACGGGTATTGAGACGGCGAAGCAGGACCAGGATGTGCCTGGCCGCTTTGCCAGAGTCATGTCGCGTGCTATCGCTGCGAACAGAGGGTCTGTATAAATTTAGATGCCGTAGTTACCTGAAGATCCAGAGTCACTACAAAATGAGACGTGCAGAACGCATTGATACTCCTTGGACAATGTGTCCCTCAGCACTACCAACAATGTTGCAATATCCTCTGCTCTGCGCTCGCTCACCCATGCTCCTCTCCCGCTGCATGGCTGTCAATGTCAGACAGCTTTTCGATTACCTCACATTGACACCTCCACCGCTCTACGCCACAGTCGCGCAAGGCCTCCGAACCACAGTTCGTCTAACGTTGAATGTAACGTCGGAGCAGTCCATCTTGAATTCAGTTCCGCACATACAGCTCTCGATCCCACGAAGTCCGGACAGCTCACGCACGGAGGCCCAAGTACGACTTCGACGAACGAGCTGCACAGATCTGAGTCAGTGTCGATTGCGGGTGGGAGTACGAGGCTGTTGTGGAAGCGAGGTGCATGCGTTACACGAGCGGGGATGCTGTTGTTTGACCGCATGGAGAGTGCATGGGGGACAGGGGAGAAGAACGAGTGGGCTTGTTGCGCCTTGCATGTGTCTCGCTACGTGGAACTCTGTTTCATGTTGTGGTTCTTGACAGCAAGGAGGGTGTTTCTGCGAAGAACCGCGAGGGCGGGTCCACATGCTGATGCGTAATATGGGTGGTGTTGCGACTGCACTGGAGGTGTTGATCTTGAAGAAGTTGTGTCTGGGTTCGTATCTGTCTAATGGCGTGTCAGTCTTGTGGAGATTTGGTTCAAGGTGAACGATGCAGTCACCTGACCAACATCCATCTCGCTGAGGCGCAAGTATGGACCCACTCTCAAGGCCGATTGATCGAGTCACACTATATGGGGCTATGTGAAACGTGGTTAGAGCCTGATGTGAGGTACATGGTAGCCTATGCAGGAGTGGGGCCAGAGCGTTCAATTACAGATGTATTGTACATCTCAGCAAGGGAGGTTTAGACGAGTATCTCCGCCCGAGAGGCTATGTAGGCCGTTACATCGACAGAGAGTAAGAATGACAAGCTTTCCGTTTCCGGCCGTTGCACTCCCCAGCCGTGACGCCAATCCTAGATGAAACAGGAAAGAAGACCAAGACCGAACCAAACACACCTGAACGAGCTACCTCATACCTCTCGTCTCGAGCCTTGACGATAATGATCAAATGTCCGCCGGTTCGCAGGCCCAGCACCCAGCTCGTCGACCAGGCTCGTGGAGATTTCTGTCCAGAAAGTGCCGCGATTCGCTCGCTAGAGACCAGCTTACGTCCGGCGCTGCAGCGGCCCGTACCGAATCACATAGGCTTAGTCTAGGAAGCAAGATAGCGGTGTGCGCTAAGGCAGGGGTGGAGCAGAGTGAGCGGGAATGTTGGACGACATGTCTCCATACCCGCTTAAAAAGACCAGAAACGCACATAATTCGTAGGAATCAAGGCTGATAATATATGACAGTATATGTCTGGGAATCGTTAAGTGACAGTGTGCCGCCAGAAGCTTTTGTGCTTTGTGTAAAAAAACCGAAATGTGTATGTACGAGAGTCATCAACAGTGCCGTATCCAGCGGCGGGTTCGAAAGGAGCTGCTAGTAGTCGACGGGTGCTGGGTATCGTCGCTGAGCAGTTCTGTACTGTTCTGGATATTTGCGTGCTGCGCGGTCGTTGAGAGAGCTTTCCAAAGTCAATTTTGGAGCCAGAGAGCAATTTTGGTTGTACTCACTCCACGCGCTTCTGCGTCCATTGCAGGTCTTTCTGCACTTCCTTTGCTGCTCGCATACCAGATGCGAAGCTTGCTTGTGCGCCGGCTAGTCTTCGCTGAGCCAATGCTTGCAATTCGAGGAGTTCACGGTGTTTGGCGTTCAGCTCGCCCGACCTGGGATTCTGTCAGTCTCAAATTCGCCGAAGCAGTGTTCAGTTGCAAAGTTCCAAACACCTACGTTTGCGCCTGCTTTGCCAGACTGCGGTCCAGCGGGAGAGGGTCGAAAGATCCGTTCAGGCGGTTGCCCATGTAGTCCAGCAAGTCTACACTGGCAGCGCCGCTGCTTGAATCGTAGTCGCTATGGCTACCAGCATAGTGACTTGATGTTGCGGAAACTTCGTAGGACGGCACACCTGATGTTGTTGTGCTGTCTGAAGCTTCTGGCGGTGATCCGGAGATGCGACCATAGTGCTGTTGAGGTGGGTAGTAGTAACCGGGCTTCTGTGGTACGCTGATGGGGTACGATGTGGATGGGTAGGATGGGTAGTAAGTGCGTGTTGTAGACATAGTGGCAGCGTGATTTGACAGTGCTACAGTGAGCAGGTACCTTTTGGCGGATAAGATATTAAGTGATAGCCGGTTGGTCCTTGTGCTCAGGTGTGTTTGTGGGCAGGCTTGGTTTGGATTGGTCAAACGACTTGAACTCGGGAAGACGAGTATATAGTGAGTCTAGAAATGTGTGGATGAAAGAGAATCAAGGAGTAGACGCGCTTCACTCGCATGGTGACCTCCTTTTATACCTCCTCTCCGGACCCAGTTGGTGAACCGGACATGGCCTCGAGCTTTCATGCCGGCTCATGCTCTGTGAACCCACCCGTGTGGTGATAGAGGTGCATAGTCTTACATCCACTGAGGTTCTCTGCCGGTCAACCCGGTGATGAAGCGTCGTTTAGACTGGGCTGGAATGATCCTCTAGGCCACAGGCCACAGCCGATCATGATGCCGCGGCGGGATGTTGAGTTCAGGAAGAAGTCAATTGGCTGAAGCAACAAGACTAGTGCGGAAAATGCTCAGCTCGTATCAATGAGAAACTTTGACAGAGCGAATTGGCGTGTGATGGCAAAGGGAGCCGTTGCTCGATGACCGGCGGCAACCCGCAGCAAGGCAGAGTAAGCGCATCAGACGCGAACGCCAATTTCACGGCACAAGCTGCGTCTGCAGAATGCAATTTGTGCATGGGTAGTCTGCCTGATGGACAAGCTAAGTGTTGTCATGTTGATGCGTTGTCATGTTGATGCGTCCAACGCCTCTGAGCGTGCAATCTGGAAAGGGCATGTGGAGTAGCAATATTTCCGGCTTAGGCAAGGAGACCGACAGTGGGGCCCAGTTCGCCTGAGGATTGGAGGGTCTGCGCGTGCCGGATGTGCGACCTGAAGAGCGGACGACATGTTGCGCCTGGAGTCGTGGTCATGCAAAGACTTCGAGAAATGTTTCGGTCCGGCGAGTGCCCCGCTGTCATTCTGCCCCTCCACCTACCCAGTGCGTCATTCGCTGGGCAGCAATTGGGACAGGGCATGTAACAATCAATTGGCTACACTGGCGAGTACAACGCCTCGATGCAGGCTGAACCTGGCGCGTCGATGGCTGAACGACATTGATCCCTGCGGGGGTTACCATCGCACGACGCTTCACTAGGCTCTCATACGCGTTCCAATTACATCAACGAAAAGCACATTAGTGGCGGTGAACAACACTTGGTTAGGCCCATGTGACCGTCAGTCGACGCATTCCCCTGGCATGCGCTGAACCGTTCTTTGCTCCAAGACGATTGCCCCGGCCTTTGCCTGATTGGTGTACACGGCACTCGGTACGGTATCGTCGATTACACGCATTGCGTACGCCCTCTGACTATCCCGGATCCCAAAAGTATTACTTTGTAGAACGTCGACTGAATACAAGTACAAGACCACTGTTTCGGCATCAAGGCGGGTACGTTCGAGCCGATCCGGTGTCACAGCTGTCACCAGAAGCCATGTGAGCTGCACATGGTAAGCCACCTGAGCCATTGTTGTACCAATGGCTGAAGTGGAGCCACTGATAACCTACAGTGGAAGAGTAAAGCCGGTGCTCTAGCAAATACCACGCAGGAACTACGCGCCGAACGAGCTCCGCAAGGCTGTACTACAGATGTGTTACCGGGATGACGGAGATCGCATCGGGCATGCTGTCAGCCAGTGACAATGTTCCGGATGGTGGCTCACAGAGTTTGCGTTGCAAAGCTGACACTCGCCTAGGTGCACTCAAAACGGACAAGGTTGTTTATTGACAGTGGGAACGATTGGGGGTTACGACTGCTTGTGGGCGTGTGTTGGGAATCCCAGGGCTATCTCTAGAAGTACAAACGTGTGATTGATCTGTAGCGTTGCTGGGACCGAACTCCTTGGTGTGTATCGCAACTAGCATAATCGGTACCGTTGATGCGGAAGTCCACGATATTACATCTGTCGTTCAAGGATGCCGACTTCGTGGTACTGAGCTCACTGCGTCTGGTCTCTCATCAGACTCCATGTATAGTCAGCCACAAAGTCTCTGTCCGCTGCTTGGCAAGGCACTAGATATACCCACCATTAGGGTACGACTCAGATTCAACTCGAGAGCATATGGCTGTAAGGCTCTTCATTGTTGACATCGTCGAATTGCAATCTTGAAGATGGCGCTGATCATGTCGGTTTGAGACAGTCCGCCGCAAGGTGATACTGGAAGTGGTCAGCCGTAGTACTGGTTGGAGATCCGCGCGTGTTACCTCATGTATGACTTTTGGATAGTCTCTCCCATGGATCTTCAACGAAACTGGGACAAAAGTAGGCCATGTCACCGTGGCCATTCTGAACACCATGACGTAAAGCATTCAAGTCTGCCCGAGAGATCGAGGGTCCTCCAAATGAGACCATCTCAGATACTGAGGAATTAGCCTGAAATGAGATCTCTGGTTGGATAGAGGCAGTCTGCGGTGGCTTCACTGGCAGTGCTTGACCTCGGGCGAGGAAGCTTGCAAGCCCACCACTGGGCGGTGGTTGCCTTGTCGTAGCAGCAGCAGCAAGGCTGAGTACCTCTTCACTGACTGATGGCTGATTCTCAAGAGCTTTGGTTCTCACACCCAGCTCGGTCGAGTTGGCGCCGCTGGCACTGTATTCTTCTTTGGCTGGTGACTTTGTCTGGTCAAACTTTCGCTTCTTTGTGCCACCAAAAGATGAGAAGCCCATCATGGCCGCCATCTCGTCATTCCCGTTGAAATCCTCCATAGCTAGTTTTGTCTTGACCGGTTATTGTTGGCGCAGTGGCGGCTATCAAAGTGGAGATCGAAGAGGTTCTGATGGACAGCACTATCCTTCGTAGTCAACCAATGAAAGCAGTGCCCCACCAACAAGGGTAGTCGCTTTCGTGACTTCGGCGTTCAGCATCGCGGCGGACAGCAGGCATGTGCTTGCTCGATGTAGGAATCGAATTGTGAAAGTGATGGAAAGTATGCGCTAATCAGTCTATTGCGACGACTAGCGCGTACAGAGTCCACATTTTCGCGATGGGAATGAAGGTGGCTGAGGCGATCGACGTCAGTCAGCCTTGACTTGCAGCACGGTCGCGCCTGGCTTCACAACAGCACCGCCTGAGACTTTCTCGTTCCCACTTCCCAACATGTCCGAAATAGCAACCTAGACCCTGATCTCATCGAGACAACACGATGACCGAGTCTCTACAGACTCCGGCGGAGCGCCGCTACCTGCGGCCCAGCGTAAGCGCCGACATGCTAGAACGAGCACCTCCTGGAGGCAATGAGCTCACGACAGCCCGCAGCTACGGTCTGTGACGATGATACAACCGAAGACTGGCGAGCGCGTCAAACGAAACTTCACGCTTCGACGATCGGTCCACCGCAACACCGAATCCTCCGAATTCCTGCTTGCGCCTGGCCAGTTTGATCCCGCGCGACATGAAGAGTTGGGACGATTTGCACAGATGTGGGAAGACTTCAAGTTCAGGCTGCGACAAGCCTACGCGTACGCGACATCTCCGACCGGAATCGGCATATTGAAATGCTCGCTGGCATACATCTTGGGTTCTTTGGCGACTTTTGTACCTCAAATCGCTGCAATACTTGGCAAGAACGACGGAAAGCACATGGTCGCTACGATCACGGTGTACTTTCACCCTGCGCGCTCAGCCGGTAGCATGATCGAAGCTGTCATGTTGGCGTTCGCCGCTTTCATGTATGCTGCGTTTGTGTCCTTCTCGAGTATGGCAGTCTCTGCCTGGTTTGGCCACCAGCATCTTCTTGTGGTTGGCCATGTCATTGTGCTCATTGTATTCTGCGGAGGCGGCCTGGGCCTGGTGGGTTGGACAAAGCATAAGCTTGGTAATCCTCTCGTCAACGTGGCTTGCTCTTTGACATCACTCGCGTTGATTACAGTGTTGACTAAAGAGGGGGCTGTGCAGAATGCGACGTTCTCATACAACAAGATCTGGCAAGTGTTGAAGATGGTCATCATGGGGTGTACGGCATCAGCGGCAGTGGCTCTCCTGGTACGACCAACGTCAGCGCGGACAGAATACCGCGACACATTTCTTCAATCGACGGATGCCATGGCCGAAACTTTAAACGCCATTGCTCGTAGCTTCCTCTCCGGCGCCGAGCAAGACCTCAGGAACGAACTGTTTTTGAAGGCTTCGAACAAAAGCCAGTCAACGTACAAGACACTCGTGAAGAACCTGGGAGAAGCCAAGTTCGAACACTATGTACTCGGCACTGAAGAAGAATACAAAATCAGCGCGCGTCTCGTCAAGTGCTTGGAGAAGTTGATCCAGAGTATCGGTGGCTTGCGGAGTGCGGCAGAGACACAGTTCACATTGCTCGCGCAATCCAACACGATGGCTGACACGCCGTATGACAATATGCCCGCGAACGGTACCGTTAGCTCATCGGTATTCTCTGAACACACTCTCTCGCAAAGCCCACCTCAACTACTGTCCCCAACCCTCAGTCACACCGAGAGACGCACCAGCATACTTGCTTCGATCGACGAACTCCCTGAGCCCACCACTGGTGAACCATCTGTGCAGGCTTCTGCTAGCGTTTCAGATGACGAGTCCAGCGGCCGTGACCTTCCTTCTAGATTGCAAGACTTTGTCAAGTCCAACCTCACACCTGCGGACATGTTCTCCGTCTTCATCGCACATCTAGGACCGCCCATGGTAAGATATGACCTGTATGAGTTTGGCAGCGTGTTGACTAACAACACAGAAATCGTTGACATACACGCTGCGCGAAGTGCTATCAGAACTTCCATTCGGACCTGGCCCAGAATACAACATGACCATCAACGAGCACTTCCGTCATAGCCTTGTGGACGCCAAAGCGCTGTTCTCGAACGCCAAGCGCGAAGCTCTCGGTGTCGTATATAAGACCAAGATACCGTCCAAGACTGGATCAGCAGCGGTTGCTGCTGACTTTGAAGAAGTGGCAGCGAGCTGTGGCTATTTCAGTTCTTCACTAGAGGACTTTGCTGAAGACATGGTGATCTTCTTAGATGTACTTGAAGAGCTGAAGGCAAACGTCTACCGTTACCCTCGACGTAGGAGCTGGAAATGGCTCAAGCTCTGGCATTTAGGGCGCAAGAACAAACGAGCGGATTGCGATGATTCAGAGAGCTCGAGCTTGATCGACGAAGGCGCCAACCAGACTCCAGGTGGTTCGCACGAGATTCACAACCCCATCTACCGCAGATCCACACGTGGTGATCCGTATAAGTCAGAGAAAGAGCAACCGCTCTCATATCGTACCTGGGTTGCTCTCGCCGTCTTTAGAAGGGACGACCTGAAGTATGCTGTCAAGGTTGGCCTTGGTGCTATACTCTACGCTATGTGGGCCTTCATTGAGCCCACGCGAGCTTTGTATGGTCATTGGCGCGGTGAGTGGGGTCTCTTGTCCTACATGTTGGTGTGCTCCATGACCATTGGTGCGTCGAACACGACCGGACTCCAGCGATTCTTTGGTACCTGTCTGGGAGCCGTCTATGCTATCATCGCGTGGATCGCAGCGGACGAGAGCCCATTCTTACTCGGCTTCTTTGGCTGGCTGGTTTCTCTGATATGCTTCTATATCATTGTTGGCAAAGGCAAAGGCCCCATGGGTCGTTTTATCCTTCTCACGTACAACTTGTCAGCCCTGTACGCCTATTCACTGTCAGTCAAAGACGAAGACGAGGATGACAGTGACGAGGGTGGCATCTCCCCTGAGATCTGGGAGATCGTGTTGCACCGTGTCGTGGCTGTCATGGCTGGATGCATCTGGGGTATTGTGGTGACTAGACTCATTTGGCCAATCTCTGCTCGACGCAAGCTGAAGAAGGGTACCTCCTTGCTTTGGCTCAAGATGGGCTTGATCTGGAAGCGCAGCCCACTGAAGACGCTGCTCGAAGCCAACCTCGGCGACACCCACAGACCGTACTCATACATGAGTGAGCACGAAGAGTTAGAGCTACGGCATTTCCTGAGCCACCTCGAATCATTGTGCACCGCAGCTACCTTCGAGTTCGAGCTGAGAGGCCCGTTTCCTGCCAAGAGCTTTAAGGTGATTATGGGTGCCACGAGCCGCATGCTGGACAGCATGCACGCCATGAACGTCATCATACTAAAGGATCTCAAGGCGACTGAGGGAGAGAAGGAGGTTCTAAAGTACACAAGGAAGGAGTGGACCGAACTCAGTTGGCGAATCAGTCACTTGTTCTCCGGTAAGCTGGTTGTCAACGAACGCACTGACCCGCAAGCTAAGAACTTTCAGTCATGGCATCCTCGATGAAGCTCGCATACCCCTTAAACGATGTCCTGCCGAACATTGAACACACTAGAGATCGACTACTCGCGAAGGTGTTTGAGTTCAGGCAGACCGGCCTCGGCAAGGTCATAGTCAAGGACGAGGACTACGAGCTGTTGTATGCTTATGGTGAGTCAACCCGTTGTTGTACGTGGATGTCTTGTACTGACGTGATGTTCAGCTTTAGTGACTGCACAGCTGGCGCATGATCTTGGAATCATTGGGCAGGAGATTGAGAAGCTGTATGGCGTTCTCAGCGAGGAAGACCTCAAGTTGCAGTAGACAGAAGCTCATGATAATGAACAACAACGATGATATATTCCCCGCCGCATCTTTACTTGTCTTCATCGTAACTTCTTCTCTGGCTGGCTGACGACTGCCGCCACTACTGCGCACAGCTTCCGCGGCTGCATCTCTCGTTACGAGGCTAGCTTGTGACGATCAGCAATGAGTCACTCTGAGCACCTGCTAGCTGACGCGTGAGACACAACGAAGCATTGTTGCCTGTGGAGGTGTGCATTGCAAGATTTCAGAGGCGTACAATGCGCAACGAACTACTCGCACAGACCGTTTAAATTGCAAGGCTGCCGATCCGTGCTTGAGGTCGTCAAGACTCAATGCAGTGCGTGGCAGCCTTGAACAACACGCTTGAGTGATAACCGTGGGCTTGACAACGAACAGCTGCACGCGACTGACAGCGATGGAGTACGGGAGAGAATAGTGCCAAACACTCGAGTTTCGAAGCGTAATGGATGAAGCAGGCACGTGAGGGGTGGCCCGAGCGTTCCAAGCCAATTTTGGGGTCTCGCTTACGGCACCTGCCCACAGGAATTCGCGACTTCCTTCTCAGTCTCCCGTGTACTAACCGCAGCTCAACCACGACCACCGTCGACAACATCATCGAAAATGTAAGGAACCCGGCCGTCTACACACAATCAATCGACCGAGCAGCATGTGCGATACTCCCACGGCCCTCCCGACTCGTGGTGCTGCTTCCAGAGCGACTCGAGGAGTGGCGAACCCCTCTTTGCACAATCCTCCACCACGCCGCGTACAAGCACCGCGAGAGCAGAGTACTGACGGGAGTGTCTCACAGGGTCAACCTCCGCACGCAGAAGCGCCTTGCGGCCTCCGTCGTCGGCTGCGGCAAGCGCAAGATCTGGCTCGACCCCAACGAGACCAGCGAGATTGCCAACGCCAACTCTCGCCAGACCATCCGCAAGCTCGTCCAGGATGGCCTCATCATCCGCAAGCCCGTCACCATGCACTCGCGCACCCGTGCCCGTGAGCTGAACGCCGCCCGCCGCATCGGCCGTCACCGTGGTTTCGGTAAGAGGAAGGGTACCAAGGACGCCCGTATGCCCAGGTATGCAACACCGACCCGGCCACCGCACGCGATGGGACGGACACAGTATCGTAGAGTGCGGTGAGCAGACGCACATGGAACGTTGCTGACACGGAACCACAGCCAAGTCCTCTGGATGCGCCGTCTCCGTGTCCTCCGCCGTCTTTTGGTCAAGTACCGCGCCGCCGGAAAGATCGACAAGCACCTCTACCACGAGCTGTACCATCTCTCTAAGGGTAACACCTTCAAGCACAAGCGTGCCCTCGTTGAGCACGTACGTCTCCCTGAAATGACATCATGACTTGTCACCCCCGCTCAGCGTCCGGCTACTGACACGCAGCGTAGATCCACAAGGCCAAGGCTGAGAAGGCCCGCGACAGGGCCATCAAGGAGGAGATGGACGCCAAGCGCGCGAAGACCAAGGCCGCGAGGGAGAGGAGGCAGGAGCGCGTGCAGCAGAAGCGCGTTGCCCAGCTGGGCGACGAGGAGTAGAGGGACGACATGATAAACAACCGGCGTGGGTCTTTTCAGGGTTAAAGGAGGGCGCAAATCTCCTTTCCATCTCGGCATATGCGGTCATGTTTCATGTACGTCTGGGTTGCAAACGAGCACTTTCCTCTATGCTGCACACCCGACTGACAAGGCTGCCTCTTCTGAATTCCCGATGCTTATGAATGTCCATGAAAAAGGGATAGGTTGCATCGGCACATTAGAAACGAGTGGTCAATCTTGGAGTTCAACTTCTTTCTTATCGTCCCTGGCTTTGATGAATTGATGTCTTGTTCACTATCTTCGCCACTAGCTTGACCTGACCTCGGCTCCGCGGTAAGCACAAACAATGCAATTGCTCCAAGAGAAGATACTACTGTTCAACGCCAAACACCACGTCCATGGATATCAGACAAACCTTTACGCCATCCCAGACCAACAAGTAACAATGGCAGACTCAGATCTGTCGCCCGTTAGCCACTCGATACCACCAGTTTGAAGTATGAAGATTGGCTTACCAGCCTCAACGCAGCCCGATGCACGTTCCTCGTGAAGCTCAGCATGGCTCTCGACTTGTTGTTTCCCCGCTGCAGTCTCCTGTAGCCCTCCTGCACATGGCTGGGCTGCACGGGCTCCCGCGCCTCCTCGGGCGGATCAAACAGGCCCCTCTCCCTCTTCCTCTTGAGCCGGTTCTGCTCGCCGCCCGTGCTCTTCTTGTACGCGTCCTCTGCATCCTTGACCTTGAGCGCCTCCTCGGTCAGCGTCTGCACAATCTCAAACGTCAGGAAGCCTAGGATATCGATGATGTCGTCACTCGGCTTGCTGTCGGTGATCAATCCGAAGCCCGCCCACTCTTTGAAGCGCTTGCCCTTGCGGTACGTGAACGACGCCTGGCGGCAGTCGGACCAGTGGACGTATTCCTCCCTTGTCATGTTCTTGGTGCGCTCGTCGGCGTTCTTGAGCCGCTGCAGCGTCGCAAAGTTCATCTCCTCCTCCTCCTCGTCCTCGACATCGTCCATCTGTGGCGGGAACTCGCTGAAGAAACTATGCACGTCCCAAACCAAATCAACCTTGGCGCGCTTCGCCTTCTTGCCCGCCTCGGGGCCCGGCCCAGACGGCCCCGAGCCCATGACTCCCGCGGCGAGGTCAGCGTCGCCGGTGCCAACGTCCGCGCCGGCGTCGCCGCCCTTGTCGTCGCTGTCTTTGACCGAGCGCCGCACATCTTTCCACTGCAGGAAATGCCGCAGCCTGCTTATCTTAGCGCGGTCGTGGCGGATCAGCATAAACAGGTCGTCGGTGGAGATTGATTTGCTGCCGCGGCGGGTGGCGAGCGTGGTGCATTCGCGCAGCATGTGCTGGACTTGGTCTTGCACTATGGATTCGATGAGGGTGGTGGTTTCGGGCGAGGGCTCACCGGTTTCGCCGGAGACGAACATCATCTGGCGAGGTTAGCGTGGTGTTTTGTATGGTTTGGGGAATGTGAGGATATTGGTCTGGCGGTTTGAGGACGGCAGGCGAAGCATTGGATGGTTATGAATCATGATTGAGGGGAATCAACAGTTGATACAGAACAATGGTGGAGCCGGCTTGTAGTGTGCTTCTTAAGAATGCGGCACGATGTCAAAGAGTTACGGCTTGCGCGAAATCGTCATGGATGAAGGGAAGCTCTGCAATTCCTACGCTCGCGTGCAGGGTAAGAAGAGGATAAGAAGTGCAGAATCGAGGCCTTGAAAGAGAGAAAACCAACAGAGAAAGGATGGAGACTCGAAAGCAAAGACTACACACCTGCTGGATCTCCGTCCGATACTTGGCCAACTTGTCCTTGTCCGCCATGATGGCTGTTCACGTGTTGGGCGATGGGCGGGTGTGATAATCGGTCGTCGCAGTCGTCAAGAGCGTCCAGCCTCCAGGTCTCTGTACGTATGCTCGCGACCACACTTCCTTCTCTTCCTCAAGCAGCATCCGCACGTTGTCAGTCGATGCGCAAGACCCGCGCACTTGATGGACGTCGCACGCAGGCACGCGGTTTGAGGCCCACTAGCGCGCCGGACCCCTGTCGCTTCAGCCCTACTGCGCTCCGCCCCGCGAAGTCGGAAAATCGCAGAGTCCCCCCACCAAAGCCTCTCGACAGAAGACACGAATCGCAACACCCGCAAGCATGCTGTACCTCGTCGGCCTCGGCCTCGCAGACGAAAAGGACATCACGGTCCGCGGTCTCGAGATCGTCAAGAAGGCGGAGCGCGTCTACCTCGAAGCCTACACAGCCGTGCTGCTGGTGGATAAGGAAGTGCTTGTGAGATTTCCTCCCTCCTATATCATGGTACAGAATAGGTGGTTAGGACACTGCTGATCATGCTGCAGTAGGAGTCCTTCTATGGGCGCCCAGTAACCATCGCCGACCGCGAAATGGTCGAGTCCTCCAGCGACGACATCCTCGCCGACGCAGACAAAGTCGACGTCGCCTTCCTCGTCGTGGGCGATCCGTTCGGGTAAGCCATCCCCCGGAAAACGGTGTCTTTTTCTGCTAACACGCCGCAGAGCAACAACGCACACGGACCTCGTGCTGCGCGCGCGCGAGCTCTCCATCCCCACGCGCTCCATCCCCAACGCCTCGATCCTGACCAGCATCGGCACGACGGGCCTGCAGCTGTACAACTTCGGGCAAACCGTGTCGATGGTTTTCTTCCTGGACAATTGGAAGCCCGCGTCGTTCTACGACCGCATCGCGGAGAACGTGCGGATCGGGCTGCACACGCTGGTGCTGCTGGACATTAAGGTCAAAGAGCAGTCGCTGGAGAACATGGCGCGCGGGCGCAGGATCTACGAGCCGCCGCGGTACATGAGCGTCGCGCAGTGCGCGCAGCAGATGCTCGAGGTCGAGGAGGACATCAAGCGCGAGGGCGTCTATGGCCGAGAGTCGCTTGCTGTGGGCGTTGCGCGGGTGGGTGCTGAGGATGAGAAGATAGTTGCCGGCACGCTGGAGGAGCTGTGCGAGGCTGATCTGGGGAAGCCGCTGCACAGTCTGGTGCTGCTTGGTAGGCGGACGCACGACCTGGAGAGAGACTTCTTGCTCGAGTTTGCGGTTGATAAGGAGAAGTTTAGAAGTGTGTGGGCGAGGGACTACGAGGGCAAGCAGTGAGCCTGAGGTGACGATGGAGGCTGCGACATGTGGAAAAGTATGAATTGATGATATATGGCAGCGTGGAGGACGCTTCGTCCCATCCCACATCGCATACTGAAACGCCTTTTGGTGTACCTCTGGCTCCTTGGTCGACGCCGTGCATCCTGCGACTGGCGTGACGCTGACGGCTTGTTTTCCCGCAACCGCAACTCTGCCTGGCTTCTACTACATTGTCTTCTTGAATCATGTCTATCGACTAGAAGGGAGGCAGCCAGAACTGGTAGCCGCCGTTCTTTTGCCTGAATACGCTGAGCAAGTAGCTGTACATGCACAGCAGAACACCGCTCCACAAGAACACGGCAAACTGCTGAGCCCTTGCGTCTGCGATCCTGGGCACCTTGAGCGCCAGCGAGATGGTCGCGAACGCCAAGACGCCGTAGATGGCAGCAACGATCTGCGACTCGAGGCCGAACTGGTTGCTGAAGCCGCCGGCGAAGTAGCTGATGCCGCCCTTGCCGTCGCCCTGCACGTAAGGTGTCTTGCGGATGTGGTTGAACATGTGGCCCGAGGTGAAGAGCAGGACGGCGATGAGGGAGAAGGCGGCCCAGAGGTTGCGGTTCTGGAGCAGGGGGAGGATGTACGGCGAGGCGACAGCGAGAGCGGTGATACCTCCGAGGGCGGCCGTAGTCACGGAGATGATCTTGACCCAATTGATTGGGCGCGAGACCTTGGGCTTGGAGACGTCGGCGGGCAGCATGCGCGAGACCCAGGCGTGGATCTGCTCGGCAGACTGAGGACTATCGAGTGTCAGTACACAAGTCAGAGGATGAGTGCGTTTCGTGCTCACCCAGACGTGAAGTCGTAGCGGACGGGCTGGGCGTCAGCCTTCGCGCCGGGGCCGACGGTGGGTGGGAAGAAGAGGAGGACAGGTGCCGTCTGGAGCTGGAGCTGTAGATTGTCAGCGATTGGAGTCTGCATGCATACTGTGCGAGGCGCCGTCATACCGACTGGAACGTGTTCTTGCCATCTACAAAGTCCAGTGTTCCAAAGAGCGTCCTGGTCTGTCCATTCTTGTCGCCCGTGGTCCAGCTCTTGCCCAGCAGATCCCACTCTGGCTGGAACTCTCTGCAAAGCACACATCCAAATCGTGTCTCCAGTGCAGTCAGCAGCACCGCAACCGAGAAGTCCCTCTGGCCCTTGGTCAGGGAGTCGTAACCGCCGTCGTCGAGCTTGAGCGGGCGACCAATCTGCAGCGATTTGGCGCGGGCGTCGGTGAACTTGTCGCCAGTCTTCTTGGCGGCAAGAGCTGTGAAGGGCAGCAGCGACGCTGCGAGAAGCTGGAACCACCGCATTGTGTCGGTAGGTCGTGTGGTCGTGGCGGGGCGGAGCTTGGAGGAGCGCTGCTGGCGAGGTCGACGATGCTGAACGTGGCCTCCTCGGGCATTACGCATGCGTTGCCAAGACTCTCTGCAGGGATAGGGTCATCTCGCCCATGGTTCGAGTGTGTCACGACGCATCAGCTGGTTTGGACTTTACATGTCCGAACGAGGATAAATCTAATTCCACAGTAATCTGCAGTCACGCAATTGAAGCCAGGATTGAGTCGAAATGATGGCCATTGCATTTGACTGTTGATGTTCTGACACCCTCCGCGCATCTATTCACAGTGTTTTGTTTACCATCTCGAGCGCGTCCCCCTTCGAGCACGCTGCACCTGACCTACAACATCCGCGCATCTTTCCGCAGTACTACCACCATGGCCGTCACCGTGGATGCAGATATAGACCATAGCTATGAGATCACAGATGTGAGTGAGCGCACGTCCTGTGGAGCCTAGCGGGACCCTGGCTGGCTTGTTGTTGCGCCGCTGCACACAAACACTGACGTGCACGCCTCCCAGCTCCAACACTCACTGCGCAGCGCGAACCTTGAGCTGAGCCTCGCGCAAAGCAAGCATTCGGTCGAAGCCGTTGTAAGAGACGAGGAAATCCGGAAGCTGCAAGTCAGCCGCTGCCTCCTCGAAAGCAACAACAGCGACCTCCACGAGCAGCTCGAGGAAGAACAAGCTCGTTCCGACGAACTCGAGAATGCGCTGGATGATGCGCTTCTGAGCCTCGACGAACGAACAGCGGAGAAGGAAGTGGCGCGGAACCAGATTCGCACACAGTCGAGGGAAATCGCGAACCTCAAGGTAGGCCTCAGCAACACCGATACCATCTGGTCCCGACTCACACTGCACAGGCCGAACTGAAGGCTATGGAAAACGTGACGTCCGACTCCAACAAGACCCTGTCGGAAAAGCTCGCTTTGTCCCGTGAGATATCGTCCCTTCGCCCTGAAGTCGAGCACCTGCGCGCCCAAGTTGAGTCGAACCAAGGCCTCCTATCCGAGAAGCTAGCCTTGCAGCGCCAACTTGCCACAGTACAAGTCGAGCTCGAGAACGAGAAGCGAGCATCGGCCCGTACCATCTCGAAACAAGGGAAGAAGATGGAGCAAGACGAGGAGCTGCGCGCTGAGCTGGAGGAAGTCCGCAAGGAACTGGCCTCGGAGAAGAAAGATCGCATCAAGGCGGAAGCCGCCGTCGCAAAGGCCGAGAGAGCTGTCGAGCAGGTACACGCGGACCTGGCCTCTCAACAAAAAGCGACTGAGAAGCTAGAGGCCAAGCTTGAGAAGCTCGCGAAGAAGGACACGAAAGTGAGCAAGCGCGACGAGGCGGCCGACGCTGCGCTTGAAGAGCTTCGTCAGGAGCTCGAGCAAGAGAAGGCCCTGCGCCTCAAAGCAGAAAAGGCCCTTAAGAAAGCTGGATCTGACAATACCGAGGTTGAGCAACTTCGCGAGGCGCTGGAGTTGGAGAAGAAGGCGCGCCAGAAGGCAGAGAAGGCAGAGAAGGCGACCACGAGGGGCGCCGAGCAGACGGGCCAAGCCAGCGATGCACAGAAGGAGCTCGAGGAGGAGAAGCGCGAGCGAAAGAAGCAAGAGAAAGAGTACACCAAGACTCTCGCCGAACTGCAGGGCCGCAATACCGTCCTTGACGACAAACTCAGTGCCTTCCGCGAGAAGCTTCGGACGACAAAGGAGAAGCTAAAGGAGAAGGAGGCGCAACTTGAGCACGTAGAACGCGCCCAAACCGCACCAGCCACCAAGACCGTGGCCTCCTCGTCCAACACCGTTAAGAACATCCGCAAACGCACCGCCGCCTCTGTCGAGCCCGAGACAAACCTCGGCACCCCTGGCGACGCCCCAGCAAAGCGCTTCAAGCGCGGCATCTCCGTATCCGTCATGGGCGACACATCCACTCTCTCGCTAACTCCCTTCTTGAACCGCACCACCGTGGTCGCGGGCAGCCCAATCACGGAAGAGGACGAGGACGAGGACTCGGCGCCCATCAAAGCGCCAAAACTCAAACCCAACAGCAAACCCCTCGCGCCCACGGCAGGCACCAAAGCAAACCCCAAGCCACGCAACAAGACTGCGCTGTCCTCCGTGCTAGCCGCCGTCGACTCGTCCTCGGACGAAAAAAACTCCACAAACGAGCCCAAGAAAATGCCGCCCAAGGACGCAGACGACGCCCCAGCAGGCCTAAAAGCGAAGAAGCAAACCAAACCTGCGCCCTGCAAATCGCTCCTCGCGTTCGCAGCCTTCACCGCCGAAGACGCGCCCGAGAAGAAGAAGAAGAAGCGCAGGCTCAACACCACGGCGCGCACGCTCTTCGACGCCGACGACGATGCTGAGAGCTCGCAGCCCAAGCCCATCGGGCTCGGCAGCGGGAAGGCGCTGTTTGCCGCCCGCGCTCTGGGCAAGGCGGCGCTGGGCAAGGGGCGTCCGATTAGTGGCGGCTTTGGCATGCTGAGCGAGGAGGCGTTTGCGTTTAGTCCGTTGAAGAAGGAGAGGCGGCGAATGGGGGACAGTGTGTTGAAGTGAGGCGTTGATGGCGCCGTGTTTGACTGAGGGGTGGGGATTGCGTCCATCTGGACTGGAGTTTGGGCATGTGTCAGCGTTGCAACCATCTATTCCTTCTCTATATTTATTTTTCTCGGCTCGGATCGGGCCCATGTGCTGCCACTCTCCTCTGCCTCCTGGGAAGCATTGAATGCCGCTGAGTCGCCTGATGCAGTCATGTGTCATATAAACGTTATCTACAGTACGACTCAAGCTCGCTGTCCATACTCGGTCTCCAGGATAGATCGACAGAGATCCAAACCCTATGGAACTGGACGATCGCACGATCAGACTACCCAGCGTGTAAACGAGTGGATGTCAGAACTCTATTCCATGCACCCGGCCTGCAATGCAGGACTTGGAGACGCTATGTTGTATACAAGTGGTTTCAGCAAATCTCAGAATCGAGTCGATGCATATCTTCACTTGCATCAGGAGTAGACCGATTGCATTAACACGTACCAAAGTCAAATGCGAGCATGTCGAAATCCCATTATAATTCATAAACATTATGTACGTGCAAAGCTTGCTAGATATACAATTTCTGCTGTCGTGATTGTGCATGGCGCGATAAAAGCAGGCCCGTATTTTCGTACCGCGAAACTCCAATCCAGATCCTGATGTTGTCCGAAAGAAAGGCCAGAGCGGACATCAACCCTCAAGAAAGCATCCGAGTGTGGATGTCAAAGACGTCGTTCCTCCAGGCGCCCTCATCCCAATCGTCAATCCTCTCGGCTGCACGGCGGCCTTCCTCTTCCCAAAGCTTGACGACACTGCCGGGTGCGTACTTACCAGCGAATACGCCCTTGCCAGGCGCTGCGACACCAACACGAGTGTAAAGATCAGGGTCGTCTTCTGGTGTCAAGCGGGTGAGAACGGCCTTAAAGAATGTCCTCAAGTCGTTAGGGTCAGAGATGCGTGTAGCCCTCAGCCTCTCACGCGCAAACAGAAGCTCGCGGTTAGCAGAGTGGATGGCGTCTGCGATACCCTTCGCCAGCTGCATCTCCATGACCTTGCGGATTAATGGGCGCAGTAGAGGCCTCAATATCCAGCCAAAGAAGCTGAACTTCGATTTGCGCAAGGTGTAGCTCAGCTTGTGGATGTTGACACGAACAGCGCGCAGAGTGAGGATCTGCTCCTGCTTCTCCTTGCCAATCTCGACATCAAGGTGGATGTCAAGACCACGCTCGTCCATCTGGAAAGAGGCAATACCCTCATCGGCCAGACGAAGGAGACCAGAGTGAGCTCGCAGCAGGAAGCCGATCTCGTCAGCGCGGAATGAGAGACCATCGATCTTGATGGTGAACTTCGATGTTGCCTTCGAAGCAACACGGAAGCGAGCCTTACGCAGCTCGAAATCATTGTATGTCTCGACCTTGAAGCGGAACGGCAAGAATGAGGTGTGGTTGATGGTCTTTCCTGGCTCGATGATAAGGTTTTCGAGCAGAAGGTCGACTTCTGGGGTGGACACCTCAAGGCGAGGAATGGGAATGTACTGGATCGCTGAGATGATTAAAGGAACGAACACATTGATCGCGTCCTGAACCAGCTCTGTGTTAGTGTAGCTGTGCTGGGGCGACAAGATGTTCCAGATCCTGAGGGTCGACTGAATGAGCTTGGAAACGTCTTCGTCGCGTGCTACGGCTGCGAATGTCTTTTGAGCCTGCTCAAAGAAAGCATCAACATCCTCACGTAGCGATGAGTCGTTGCCAACACCACTCGACTTCTTGCGGAGCTCCTGGAACTTCTCGTCCACGTGATCGAAGAAGTCTGGGTCGGTCAGCAACTTCTGTAGCGAGTTGCCGATATCCATGAGCAGGTCCTCGAACGCTGGATCCCTCTTCGAGTGCTCCAGGAGCTTGTGGAAGCGGGTCTCGAGCTCCTTCCATTCGTTCTTGTCACCGAACGAACTCATGAGCAGCCAGAAGTTCTTCACGGCCTTATCCATCTCACGGTTTGTGTCGACATCATTCTGAACAGTGCCCACAGCTTCCTCCGCCATGCGAGAGTATGTCTTCGCATACCTCTGGAGTAGCAATGACAGCGTGGAGACCGAATCTGAGTAGTCGCGCTTCTGTCGCAGGTTCGTGACGGTCTTCTTCAGGCGATACAAGAGAGTGTCGCCCTCGGCGCCTTGAAGGTGGTCGGCAATACTACTGCCAGCTGTCTGAGCCACCTCGACTGTGCCTGATCCGACAGCCTTGGCGACCTCTTGGACCTCGCTGCTCAGCTCCTCGGAAGACACCGCCTTACCATTGTTAGCATTAGCGTCCGGCTTCTTTAATGCCTCTTGCTCTGCCTCAGAAGGCTCAACCTTTTTGCCAACTTCCTTCGCAACGTCTGAGATTGTGAATGCAGTGTCCTTGAAGACCTCTCGCCCAACAGTATTGAGGTCAGACAAGAAAATGCGGAAATCTGAGTTTGTCAGGAGCAGGGAGCCAACGGTTTGGAGGCTTTGGTAGGCTATCGTTAGTTAGCGGTGTTGGCTTTGAAGGGTCACCCGAACTGACCAGCGACAGTGTCGGCCTTGGCCTTTGATCGAGTAGCACTGCGTGCAATATCTGCGACATCGACCTCGACACGAGCCTTGGACAGGTACCACAAGAAGTCTTGGATCTGGTCTTCGCTGTTCTTGTGCTGAAGCAGCTCGATAAACTGATGGAGCCATTGCTTGGTGAACTTGACGAGCAGACGGCCAGAGTCGCTGAGCTCTGGGTTATCAGGGTTGAGGATGTCTGCGGCAAGGAGTGTTCGAAGGTTAATGGTCAGTTGCTCGTTGGATGGCATGAACCCTTTTCCAAGAGCCCGGACCATCTGGTACGAGTGCAGCTTCTGGTGGAGCTCCCTCTGTTCCTATGTTAGAATCTGTTCACGATATGGCTTGCAGCACGCGCACCTGGAGGACCGTGTCATCGCGGTACTGGGGCAGCAGCGGCTGCTGGTCATCGCTGCGCTTGCGAAAGCCAAAGCACGACGACATCTTGATAGTTTAGGTGTTGTGAAAGTGTGAGAGCTGCTCGACAGTCTCAATGGCACGGCAGCAAGGCAGCTGCCAAACGCGTGCTCGCGATCATGATGACGCTTCTGGCCCAAGCTTAGCGAGGTAAGAGCTGCTCTGGACGTCATTCGTGGCTGGTGGCGGTGCGCCAAGTCTGGAGAAGTCAAAGTCAAACCTCTAACGTGTTCTATCAGTAAGCTGCGCATATCAGTATCCTGCGCACCCCACCAAAACGCGCTCAACGCGTCTTATCTCATCAACTATGACACCACATCAACTACCCGTACAAAGTTCAAAAGAAGGCAGGTTAAGCCTTGCTATTGCTTCTTTTCAAAATAATCCTTATCAATCTAAACGTTGCCTTGCTGCAGCCTACGATGTTCCAGAATCAACACTGCGGACGCGTCTTAAGGGTATCTGTCCTAAACACGAGACAACATCAGTCAACCAAAAGCTCAGCCCTATTGAAGAGCAGTCCCT